AACGTAAAAACCAAGCCTGCTGTTTATAACATCATGGCACTCGAACACCACTTTCAAACTGACAGAAATCGTGTGAAATGAGCAATGACTCTCCCCAGCGTCATTGTAGACAGGGTTGCAAATGGGATTTCTTGGTCCGCTGGGCTGGGCGGTTGAATGTTTGGTGTCGGCGCATCGATTCACCACTCGCCGTTTCCACATGCTTGACCAACAGGGGTCATCTTAATCAGCGTCCAACGAACCGCTGTGTGAGATACCCCAAACTGGCACCCTCTGGCGAATTCCATGCTGTGAGAACAACAATTGTAAAAAATGTGTTCTCATTGACGTTGCATCAGACTGCAATCTAAGGTATCAAAAGAACTTCTGGACCTTTCAGAAAGGTACCAAGGTATCAAATCCTATAGGTGATGCAGAAAATTGAATAAACGTGGAGTTCTGAGTTCGCCCCAGCAGGTCTCATTCCGCCTGCTGCAGCTGGTGTACGTCACGCCACAATAGCAAACAGCCTATGCGCCAATGCGAGGAAATTAAGTTGATCGCCAATTCCGCAAGGATCGGGTGGCGCCTTTGGCGTCGATTGAATAGACCTGGTGCCACGGAGATGTTGGCGGGCGATGACTGCAGGACCTGCAAGGCGCGCTTGGCGGAAGTTGAGCCGCTTGGGGACTACGGAAGCGCATCCACCTGGGCAAACAAGTTCCATGCGCTTTCCCTTGCTGGAATCATCCATTAGGGTATTGGTATCGTCTCTGATCACAAATCTCGAGGCAGAAGTCGAGGCGCAGGGTGGCCCCAAACGCCGTTGTTTTGTTTTGCGTGCATATGTGTTGGTATTCTGGCGCATGGCTTGTCCGTGCCTTGCTCCATGCACTGTGTGTTCAGGAGCATGCATTCAGCTCAGATCCCTCACCAGAGACTGCACTGAACAGTTCCACTGCAGTACGCCATAAGGGGCAGGGTGGCCTGTGCATCCCAGCCAACCATCAACAGCCAATGGCGTCGGCATCTACCACACGCTGCATCCTTACCTCCATTCCAGCCTGTCTTTCTCTGTGTCAGATGCATTGGCAACGAAGCTTCAATGAGTGCAGCCAAGGCGCTGTGCTGCCTCTATTGTAAAGATGGTGCTACAGTTGCACTGCCAGAGGTAGACAGCTTCCTGAAGGATGTCATGCATGCAGCTGGCCAACGTGGTGCAGAGCACGCTCGTGGTCACATAATAGCAGTGCCTTCAGAGACAACCCTTATCCACCCTTCCTTCCATTCCACTCCGCGCGACCACGCCCAGCGCAAGAATACGATTTACACTCCACGCCCATCACACCTCCAGATCCCCATACAATTCGCGAGAATGCAAAACTGCTACATGTCTGCATCTCTAGTACAATGCCGCCAGAATCACGGCAACCGCGGCACTGCCAGCAAAGAGGGCTATGGAGCTCTGGTCCACGGCCTTCACCTCGAGCGGCCCCTTCTTTTCCACCTGATCGCCGTGCTTGGCGACGTCCCAGTACAGGTGCCTCAGGCCACCGAGGTAGTGGAACAGCAGGGGGAAAGCAACGCCTACCTTGGCGGGAAAGCACAGCAGCCAAGAGGACTTGATCACGTCCACTGTGGCGGGGACGTCCCCTGTGAGGGCCACCAGCCCGGCACCAATGCAGCCTGCGAAATCAAAGCAGAGCAAGTACAGAGAGAAGTAGTAGAACAACTAGAATCATCGTCCGCATTCATGGCTTTTTGTCAGTTACTTAATGCTGGCCGCTAGTTTGATGACAACTTGTTTTGGATTCGACTGATTCATTCCTTTGATATATGGGGTGACTGTTGTTGGGATGGACCATTTTGAGAAAATGACCAAAATTAAACACTGTGCGAAACTTTCGGGGCATGGTTTGCAGCCTCCTGCGCTCATCGCGAATCTGACTGACATCAGCAGCAAAACCAGCTTGTCCTGAAACATGGCACAACAACAACAACAACAAACCAGCCAGGGCTGAGAACGCACGGGAAATTGTTTTGCTGCAGCAATTTCCGTTCATGGAGTAACCAGGCCCATTCACACAGTGCGCAAGTACTGACAGCGGTCTCTGCCCAATGAGCACCCACCAACACTGCATCATCTGTCTCATACCTGAGAGTTTATCAGTCCCTCTGTCTTTTCCATGCAGATCCCTTCTTCCGCTGACAAGGCCGTTGTGGATCAGTGGGCTGGTGGTTTTTAGGGTCTAGGGTGTCCAAACAAGAAGGGATCTTCATGGAAAAGACAGACGGACTGATCTCATGCCCTCATATCCATTGTGCCAGGCAGGATGTCAACCAACAAAATGTCTACAACTGTCCAAGGATTGCGTGTGTGTTATCTGAGCCTACCGTTGTATGAGACAGGGTTCTTGCCAACACCCATTAAAGAAGCCTGAAAGGATTGCAGCAAATGTATTCAGGTGTCCTGCAAAGCTACTTTGCTTCTTGAACCTGTCTGGTCGCTGGGCAGAGCTTGTGATGTGTAACTCCATGTAGACAAAAACAACTTTGTTCCATTCGAGTGCGGAAGCACCAGCGGCTAGGCTGGTGGGATGGGGACACTCTGTTCCTGACGCCCTCCCTTGCCCTCAGATTCACCCACCTGCTGATAGGACCACGCCAGTGCCTCGGTTGGTTATGGAAGACAATGCCCCATTGGGAAACTTGTAATGGGGATTCCATCCCTCAAGCTCAAACACATCAGGAGACAGAGGCCGCTTCCCAGTCAGCTGCATCAGGAAACAGTAACAGTCAGGCCTTCCAGTTGCTGAGCCAGACCTAACCTGTGGTCTGGATCCAGTGCTCAGTGCAGCTGGAGTCCTACATCAGCATTCAATGGATATCCAGCCCATCAGCATCCTGCAGATTATTGGACAGTGCTCTGCGATGTGTGGCACATAGTTAGAATGCACTTGTAAACAGTCGCTGAAGCACTGTCTCAATCTTCATGCACCAGCAGAATACAAGCCAACTATGGGGGCAACCAGCATTGTTACAAGTTTCAATCTTTTGTCCTACACCTATCAGCCAATCCCATTCTCAGCCCTTACTCCTCAACTGCCAGCCATAAAAAGGAAAACATGACATGAAATGGACACTCCCCTCCTGAGCAAAGAGGCATATGAGACTCCTTTCCTTTCTGTGCAAGACGATGCAAAAGTCTCGTTTGAAATGTGAAGGCTCAAAACACAAAGCAACATGCAAGCTGAAGCACTGCATCTGGAGCAATGTCACCGTGCTTCAGGTGAAAAGGCAGTTTGTTGCATTTTCTTAGAAAATGCAGTCAGGAAGATCGGGCAGATGTGCTCGCCAGACTGGGGCGCCTGTGGCAATTGAAGCAATTACTGAAGGAACAAGTGCAACACCAGCAGCCACGGGTGCAGGCAATTGAACGGGATACAGTGGCAATACCGCAGCTGGCGACCAGACATAGAGGACGAGCGGAGAAAATGAACGAGCGATGAACAGGAAAACGTTGTTTGGCATTGCATGTCTGCTAGGTGCGACACCCCCAATCTGTCTTTCTGAGGCACACGTGGACAAATTTGGGCAATTGAGCTTAACAGCTGGCGACCATCCCCTTTGTGAATCGGCACCAACAACGACTGCAGAGAGCGGAAGAACCACAGCATCTTACGAATGGTTTGTGCATCTTCCAAATTTCCTCCCGTCCAGTTCGCGGTCGGCTCATCCCCAGACAGCGGCCGATCTCCAATCCCCAAATCCATTCACTGCGACTCCATCAGCGCTGCGGACATCGGATGTTCGGATCCAGCCAGGATCCACTCGGGCCCCCCATTGGTTTGAAAAATGGCGAAACCTGGACCGCAGTACCTCTCTCAGGGTATCGGCAGCGATCGGCGCGGCGCGTCAGCTCACCGTCAGGTGCTGGTCCGGGGTGCCCAGAAACTTCGTGCCCTCGGTGTACGCAGACGGTTTGCCCCACACCTCGTAGCCCCCACCCAGCCTGTGGAGGGAACCGCACCACGGCCAGCGCACAATCGTGAGGGAACCGCAGGGCCGCAAGTGACCAGCCGAAATCCCGAATCTCAATTCGGATCGCTCAGTCCGCAGATCGCGCACGGCACAGCTCCAAGTCGCGAAACACTTTGATCGCCACCTGCACGCGATTCAGAGCAACGGCGACGACGGTTGGGCACTCGAGCTGGCTCTGGGGATGTGTGGACCCCTTCACACTTTTTCGCGCACCCTCTGCATTGCTGGAGTGAGGAGGAGGCCAGCGGGCCCAGAGCGTCGCCGGCGGCGCTTCTAGTCAGCGCCAACCCCGCCATCCCCAGCAGACGCTTTCCGGCTCCCGCCATGGTGCTGGCCCCGTTGAGTGGGACCAGCAGTGCGCGGGTGGGGATTTTATGAGTTGGAAGTTGGGCAGTTTTTTTGGTTGACATCTATACTCTGAATGGCGGTGACGGAGGCAGCAGGGCCGAGGGGTGGCAACCCCTGACTGGGGAGCGTACGCTCGAGTACACGGCAACGGTTTACGACCGAGCAAAGGGACAACAGGGATTCTGTCCCCTAGACCCGGTCCATTCGTCAGTGTCCTTGATTCAGTTGTTATTGTCCCATCACCACTTAACGCGTCCAGCTGTTAGTGATACTTAATCAGTTACGGTTACAACAGAGGAAGGAAAAAAAGTCACAGTGTTTTTAGGGAAGAATGAGGCCGGGCAAGCACAGAAAGAAAACGGGCAGCCGTGGTGGGCCCAAAAGCACGGCGGAAGGGAGGCGTCTCTGCACGAGCCGCCCTGGTCACCTATCCCATCTGCGCAACTGTACAGGGGGGCTGTATGCTTTGCGCCGGAACTGTAGGCTCGTTTGTCGTCTTCCAGTGCTTTCTAGTTCAGGTTTCGGGGCAACAGTACCTTCCAAGGAGCTCACGAGTTTCAGGCGAATGATCACGGTTGCAGCAATTAGACCGCACTGGTGATTGGATGCCAAAGCCCGCAGTCCGCACGGAGGACATAAGGTAGTCAGCGCAAAACGCTCCTCACAAATTGGCCTTTTCGGCATATTTTTCGAATTTTAAATTGAACAAAGGCCCAGAACAGCCAATATGTTCTGAATCAAGGCAAATCTCCCCCAACAGCCACCCGCCGCTGTCAGGCCGCTGGCCGACTCGCCACTGGGGAAGCTGTCCGGTGGTGGTGGTCTGGGAATGAGCCGGAGGCAACAGATTGACAGACAGATCCCAACCACAATGTTCCTTGAGCCAGTCCACTCATCCAGCCCGCGTGTCATGATCCTTTCACCACATTGCTGCAACCCAACTGCACCGCCGATGAAGGACGGCAGGGTAGAGGGGCGGCAGCGCCTGAGGGGGCCTGTAGGCCGCAGCACTAGGCAGACAGCAACTGATTGCAGTTGAGTGGATTGTGTCTCTTGGGGTTGAGAATGTATTGGTCCCTCTGTCCTTTCCATGAGAATCCCTTCTTCTTGTGCTGACAAAGACAACGCCTGTCAGTGCGTCAGTAGTTTAGGATTTGTCCGGGTAGCCAATAAATTGGGCTAATTAAAAAACTAGTAAGTTGAGGATATCACTCAGCTGGCGACCCGAACGATCCAGAAATGGTGCAGAGGGGATGTCGACAGCCTCAGCACCTTCGTCACATTGATTTCCATCCAGTAGGTTGGCGCTCAATGAGGCAGAAACCCCAAAACATCAACCAGGGGTGCTCCAGAGTTCTCTAGGAATTCAAGGCCAAGGCACTCAAAATGCAAAAAGATGACGTCAGTGACAAAAAGAGACCACGGCAGCCTCACTGGATGCCCAAAGAACCCAAAACAATACAGTTGTGATGCCGGACACAGCTCCAGCATGTGGCAGCGCATCACGGGCACACCGGCGTAAGACACGTTTGGAAAACACCGTGAAGTAATGAGAAGCACCCAGGTCGCTGTTGGGCGCGTGCGTTTGCTTTGGCAAACTGTACAGCCGGACCTGACCGGGCGCATTGGATGCAAAAAGGCTTGGCGAGTCGGGTTGCGTCGGTTTTTCCGAGCAATGCCCGTTGATCGAGCCGGGACGGCCGTGGCTGACCATGGTGCTACCGATGGGGATGGCATACACACAGCCAAGTCGCCGGTGGAAACGGATCGAAGTCGAAGCTGCTGGGGGGTTTTTGCTGGCGAACGGGCAGGCCTTTCCCTCTGCGTGGTCGGCTGTGTAGCAGAGCGCCGTGAGTTCGAGCGAGTGCAAGCACCGTGGATGAGGGGAACGGGAGGTCGCAGGGCTGCTGCGAGAGGCATGCTATGTACTGCAACTGAACTTGTCATCCTGACATGGCGCTGGAGAATTCTGACGTCCTGTGGCATGCAAGCTGCTCAAAAGTGTGCCTCTAGCTCAGAGCAACATGGTTTTGTCACGGGAGGTTGGGTGCCATCAGCAGAAAAATGGACTTGTGAAAGTTGGTCGAGACTGGATTTGAAAGGATCAATCAGTTGCAAGTCAAACTTGTAGCATGCTGTTGCTATCCCAAGTTACGTAGAGGTGTTTTAAAGAAATCGTTTGCAAAAGATTTCACCTCAAACGGATCCTTAGTAAGCAAGATATGGCATTTATGTGCGATGGTGCCGTTTGGATGGAGGGGGTTTGCCCCCCGTGCGACCTGCCATAGGGCGCTGTGAGACGGGCTCAGGAGGGGCGCGCGGAGGCGCCACGTAGCTTTTGATGGGAAGATGGCCCCGTGGGGCATTACGTGACCGGGAAGTGGGGCGCAAAGATGTGATTTGTGGTGACACGGCAGTGTGGCGGAAAGATTCCGCGGAATCAAAAGATGTTGTTTCATATGGGGTGGCCTTTCAAACTCGGGGGAGGTTACAAGTACCAGGGGCGCGGACAGCGCCGTGGGGGACTCTCCATTGTTGCACTCGGCATGGCAGCTGTAAGAACGACTGCGTGGGGTCCGTGTGTGTGTCTCGCGGCGGTCTAGGCGTTCTGCCTGGCTGCCTGACTCCCCTGGCTGTGCGCGCAACGTTCGCCACGGCCTGAGCGCAATAGCGCTCGACCTTTTCTAAGGTCGCGGCCTGTCTGGGCCGTGTTTTCAAGGCGTTTCCTTGCCGTTCAAGACCAGCACCTCCAGAGTGGTCTAGTTGCCAGCCAGAACTTCCCAAGTCTCGTCGCTGGACAGCTTTGTCGAGGCGGAGAGAAGCGTTTTCCGTGTCAAACACCAATGTGCTGTGGACAAGGCAGCCCGAACCCGTGGACCTGGCTTCCGTTTTGACTTCTCCGACCGTTGAGGAGCAGTTGCGACCGGGTGAGGCGCTCTGAGCGGCAGCTGTGAGAGTTTACGCAAGCGTATTTGCATGGCTGGCTGGCAGTGGGACGTTTGCTACCCGTTTGAAGCTTGCCCTTGCCGTCGCCGCTATTTTTGGTGGTCGTCGTCGTCGCGACAAGCAGTTCTTCGTGAAGAGCCAGCTCGTGGGAGGGGCGAAAGTTTGGTCGTTCAGTGACCCCTCAACTGACGTGGTGCTGAGGCTGTCGACATGGCTCAGCTGTCCGTTCAGGGGTGATTTGTCTGCGCTATCTCCGGGGATGACGGCCAGAATGGACCGCCGCCCTTTGCAGGTTTGGGTTGTCCGAAACAAGGAGGGGGATTCACGGAAAAGGCAGGTGGACTAATTACATGACCTTGGGGCTCCAGTAAGGCCGTGTCAGCATCTGCAAATTTGCAGTGCGTGCTGACGGCGACGCAGACGGCCCCCCGCCCTTTTCGGCGGTAAGCCTCGCGCACCCCGCGCTCGGTATAGCGCCCTTGGGGACGGCGAGCCGCCCAGGCCTTCAGCCTCGCCCGGGCGGCCGCGGTGGCCATGGACGACCTGAAGCGGATGCTGGAGAGTAGGAAGGAGGCGAGGCCGGGCAGCGTCGCAAGCGGCTGCAAGGCCGTCGAGAAGTTCCTCGACGACGGATAGTGAGTCGACGCTCGCCGCCGCATTCTGTCGTTCTGTTTAGCAGCGCCGGGCACGCGCGGTGCCCAGAGGCGTGGCGGCAATGGGGGGCGTGGGGTCGGGATTTGGGGGGAGGCTCTGCACGGGTGCATGGCGATGTGGGATGTGTGAATTGCGCTTTTTGGATTGCGGTGGCGTCTGGTGGTAGATGTCGTTGCGGCTACGAGGTGGCGGGTGTTGTTGTCGCAAGGCACTGTGGCCGATTGGCGCGGCATCTGCCGTTGGAACGGCCTTTGGCGAAGCGCGATCTGTTGGCTTGGGGTTGGGAATGGCATCGCGTCGGTTTCGGAACTGGCGGTGGGGCTGATGCGGCGTGCCGGGGCGGGGAATCTTAACCGGAGGTGACTCGGGCGGGATTGATCAAAGGTCCCGATGGACCGGCGAATGTCAATGGCTGTCCTCACAAAGGGAGCATGCCCTGCGACACCCCCTCTTTGTGTGTGCTTTCCTTCTTTTACTGCATTGGGAGATCTCCTGAAACATTGTTATGGCAGACACAGAACCCCAGACACATTTTTGCCGCTGGAGTTGCATTGACCTGCTTTCCTTTGCCCTTTCTGGTGTTCTTTTCTTGCCTTTTCGTGCACCTGCTCCCCCGCAAGAGTGTTTGTGAGGCTCCTTCCATGCTCTGGCACATTTCGCAGAGGTCTCCGGCTGAGCAAGTGATGAAGCCGCGTCTCACGGCTTCTTGTTTGCCTTCAGCTACGACAACCGTCGACTCCCTGAGCTCCTGGGACCGCTACTTAAGCGTGTGTTCTCCATCGAGACCTACGGCGCCATCTGTTGGATGATGCTGGTCAATCAGGTGCGAAATTCACATGCCAAATACCTCCCTCCAAAGTGCGTAGATTTCAGAAGTGTATCAGGCACATATTTGATCCAGTTCCTCCTGTCCACAAATAGACACAAAGGCAGGAATTGCCAATAAGAACAAATGTAGGAGCACACCAGCCTTGCACCATTCGGGCGCTGTCTGTTGCTGTTTTGGGGGATGTGTGACGTGGATCCCATCACAAATGGCTCATCATGTGTCCCTGCTATTTATGTGGTATTTGTATCTGCTGTGCATCAAATTGGTACATTTGTTTCTTTTGACCCTCATTTGTCAGCATAAGGCACTGCTGCCCGTGGTGGTTTTGCTGCTTGATTGGATCTTGTTGTGGCCTTTTCTAGCCAGGATATGAAGCCGATGCCAAAGTGCTGCTTGAGTTTATGTCTCCAAAAGGTGAAGTCCCGTTCCCCACCCATTTGTCTCCCTGTTCTCCCACGATGAAAATGGATGGTGTGCTATTCCTTGTGTGCATCAGACACAGTCTATGCCAGCGCCATGTTGACCATCTTAGCATCGCTGAATGCCTTGCAAATGAGTATCTGTGATGGCAGGCCTTTGGTTGCACCATTTCTCAGTGCAGAGCAAAAATGAGGTCCTTCCACCTTTCAATCTATTTGGGACAAGGGCAAGGGGTGGAATGCCTGTTGTACAGCAGATTCTCTTAGGATATCAGTTTGCTTACTGCTGTTCTGTATAGCAGTGCACAGAAATAGACAATGGTATATAGCGATACAGCAATAGAGCAGCAACATACAGCAATACATACCTATATGCAATTGGAAACTGCCATTCTCTGGATTAAGGATTCGTTATTATGAAGAGTTTTTTGAAACAATATCAAAACATTTGTGCTGACAAGACAGTTAAGTGATGAAATAGACCATGAACATTTTGTATTAACACATGTGCAGATGTGAAAGCAGTTTATGATTGCCCGTAATGCACAGGAATGGTGTCTTGTTGCACCAGCTGCTTGTGTGATATGTGCATTTACTGAAGGTCTCCATGGTCTTCTCACAGGACGTCTCTTCCATACGATGCAAAATGGGAGGAACTACTGCCGGTATGCCATCCCTGTGGAGAGGTTGCCGCACATCACTCAGGTTTGTAACTGCACGAACACTCTCACAGAACATGGTCTTGTGCTCTGGGAACCAACATTTTGAGTGCATGTTTGCTCGAGTCCCTACTGAACTGAAGTCAAAAGACAGTGCCAAAGTTTTCGGCAGTCCATGCTATCATCATCATCCAGAGCAGTCCACCCCACAATGTTTGGGAAAAAGGGAACAGCCCAAACCATGTGATAAGGGCACACAGTGTACAGTGGATGTACCCTTGCAAACAGCATAGTGAAACACAGTACTCGTGCCATGCATCTCTGCATAAATACAATTTCATCGAAAACTGTGTACTCCATGATGCAAGGTTGACCCCAGGCCCCACGACTGCGTAGAGCCTGATGCTGAGAAGCCGAATGTAATGCAAAGGGAGTTTGTTCTTGGAACAAGCTCTTTCGATTGGGTGCGAACAGCACCCATCATCACCTTGTGCACTCAGAATTTTCCATGGATTATAATCATACTGGCAAGAAGGTCGTGATAACTGAACACCTTGCACATTTCAAGTACAGCTGTGGAAACATCCAGACATTACTGTTGTGGTTTCCCAAGACAATAGTTCCACATACCACCCAGTTGTACAACCAGAAAGTATGCAGTTTGTTTGTGCAGTACAGCCTGTTGGTCTCTCCCTCTTCTCCTGCGCCTTTTCTTAGCAGGTCACTTGTCTACCTGGCCTTTCAGCGTTCTTTCCAAGGTAACGCCGCATTGTGTCTGAACAAAAAATTTTAAAACAGGCCGAAGGTTTTGGTAGGGTTGAAGAGGAAGGTTTTAGGCAGTTCTTAGGATCAGACCCATTTCAGGAATAACGTTTACTACTGCGCTGGCTTAGCCATTCTTTGTTAATTGTTCCCTGCTCGATATTCTGCAAGAACTGGCTGCAGACATGCTTGGTGTAATAGTTGACAAGCCTTGTCTATGCAGTATGAAAGAATCCTTTGAATCCGCCCTTAATAGCCATGTCAATGCATGAGTCAAACATCTACAAGGCGACAGAGTGCCACATGCATCAATTCTAATTTTGGGCAAGCATGACTGTAGCAGTCTTTGCCTTTGTCCTAAATGCCCTTGACTCTAGAACGTTTGCTGTTTCTCTTCCTGACTCTTCCCCTACTGTACTTATTTTGAAGTTGTGCCTTGCATACACTTGGACTCTTTTGCTGGCTGCACGCGCACAGTCCGTTATTTTTGAATGGTTAATGTTTCTTATGCACTAGAATGAACCTGTATCCGCTCCCTATTTTTACACATTCGTTGTCTGCACTTGTTCCCTGCTAGTATGTTTCTTGCAACGAGTGATGCTGGTTGCATTGTGTTCTGCTTCTGGGGTCAGAGACTCTACACCATATATCACCTTCTCTCTTGCTCAGAAAGGGAAAGGGTTGGGGTTAGGAGACATTCGTATGACATGCTTGTCTGTCTCAGCAGCGAATCCCTTGATGTCTGCATTGACTTCCATGCCCATTGACTGCCTGCAACCATTGCACAGGTGCATGTGGTCACCTGCTAACTCAGTCCTTGAACTGCTGCATCTCATATCCAGATGCACCTGTCATTCCCTGAGGGCATGAGGCTGCTGGAGCGATGGCCACAGTACCGGGGCTGCATTGTGCATGATAGGAATAGCGGCGAAGTCCAGATCCAATCCCACCTCCCCACGTGGTTCCTGTTTTGGATCGTGTTTTACATCACCCAGAAGGCGCCACGATCCACCCGGTGAGGCTGAAAATGATATGAGAACAGATTTGGCAACTCTGATCACATCTAATGTGCCAGAAATTTGAACCCAGCGCAGTGCCAAATGCTGTGGGGCTTGCGCGTCCGTGCTGCAGCCACATATTGCCAATGCCCATTTCAGTTTGTGCACAGTACTTGCCTGGTTGGAGCCTGAATGTGCCGCCATCAGTGGTGCCACCTGTATATTTTACAATTCCAATGCTCAGTGGTGTTTGTGTTCTGTTCCGCGATTGTCTCGTCTGTGTGCTGTGTGTGTGTTCACCAATTCTGGTTGTGCTGCTGTTTGCAGTGCGCATTGCTGTTGATTTTCAGAGTCAGGGTGCTGGCCCCATCCTGTCGAAAGAGATGTGGATGTTGTGGCACCTGACAAGAACGTGCTTGGAGATGCACAAAGTGATCACATGCAGACATTATTGTTGTCCGTTACCTGTGGAGCACCAGTGGAATATGATACCGTGGGCCCCTGTAAGATGTGCCAGAAATGTCCATTTTCATATTTCCATGCCGATCAGTGGGCCATCATTTCTGCAAAGGCTACCTGTGGCATGGGCTTGCCCATTTATTCTTGGATGGGCTGCAGAAGCGTGTGCTACCAGCAATGAGCCCTTTCAGCACTGTACTGCTCATAAGAGAATATTGTAGTCGATGATGTTGCTGGTAGTTTAGCCGATGAGCCAGTGGCACATTTACCCAGAACTTTGTTGTTCACAGTTCAATGATATGTGTTGGTGACATAAAATTCCATGCAATGCCTTTTTAAAGAGGCAATTGTGAACACAGCCACATTGAGAAAAGCCATGCGAGATTGTAAGGAACTATTTGTAATGATGTATGTTACATTTCTCATTTGGCATGCCATCCTTTCTCATGACAGACAGCCACTTGGTGTGTGGAACGATGATTTTGGTGCACTGAACACACAGTGCTTGACAGTTTCTGTGTCATCGCCAGCAAGGTGCATGGGCTTGTCATGGCTATTCTAACAACTGCAAACCATGGAATTATACAAGATATCCATTTACACAAACACTCACATAAACACTATGAAACTTAAATTAAAGTTGAAAATTGTGGTGCAGTGAGGCCCGCACCCTCAGTGCTGGGCCCATTTCCAGCCCCCAACGTCTCCGGCAGCTGCCGCAGCAATTCTTGCATGGTCTGACACCGCACCAGCATGGCCTCCAGCCCGAGGGCTCAACTTACCTGCGACTTGTCAGCCGATATGTTGAGTTCCTGCTCCCACGGGACAGACCTTTTGTGGAGGGTCCAGCCACTGGCCATCTGGGTGATGGCCGCCATGGTGGGACTCGAGCATGGTGCTGAATTGATGGAGAGCTGCATTGGCAAGGAAAAATGGATTGATGAGTAGTGAATGGCAACTGTTAAGTGAATAATGATGAATTTGAATAATGGCATACTTGCAAAATGCCAATTAGTAAAACCGAATGGTAATATGATGAGTGGCCTTAACACATGTTCAAGCAATTCAGGGGCTGAATTGCCTGTGTTCAGGATTTGCTGCACTCAAGGGCATATTGAAGCCAATTGCGAGTAGTTCGTTATTCAATGTTGTTTGTTTCTGTTGTGTTTTCACTTGTGACAACACCCCATGTTATGCCCTGCTTGCCCTCTGTTGTTTGCTTTGTTGTCCTGGGGCTCCCTGCTGTGGTGTCTGTGCAGGTAGAATTGGGGGATCACATGTTGTCAAATGTGCAGCCGATGTTCTCAGCCACAGTTGGCAAATCCAAGCGACACATTTCCATGCATCGACGACTGTTCTGGAATTCTTTCATCTTCACCCACAAGATGTTGTAAACAAATGCTGCAACCACACGGGTAGAATACAAATATTGTGCATGGGCGACTGCCTGCCATTGCCTGCAAGTTGCACAGGGGGTGCTTTTGTCACACAAGCACAAATACATTCGAAAGATGCTGCTGCTTTCTTGGCCTGTGAAGCAAGCTGCAATCCAGGGTTGTCCTCAGAATGTTGTGTGCCTCTAATAGACCTCTGTCCGTTCATTTTGAAGGGGATGATTTCAAGTGCGATGGTAGACTTCTGCTATTCATTCTGGTGGAGCTGTGGCTGACTGACGACCAGGAGCCTCTGATGGTTGACTCTAAAGGGAAGAATGTGCAACGTGCTGAGCTCCTGCGGTGAGCCCTCTTTCTGCCTTTGGCATAGGTGATAGTGAATGTAAATGCTTCTTAACAGAAAGACACCTAACACAATTGTGACTTGGCTAGCATGGACCCAAAATGAGGTTATGTCATGCTTTGCCTAGTTTTCAATGTGTCATACTATACACTACATTCTGATAACTCCATTGCTCCCAGTCAGCAGCCACCTCTGTACATGAACCTCTCTCTACCACGGACATCTCTTGATTGTTGCTTCTGACCTACATCGCCGAAAGGTGGCACAGGCTGTTGACATCATGTCTATGCTGTCGGGAGTGGGGTCGGGTTAAGTGAACACTATGTGATTAAGGAATTCATCAGCATGAATGTATCATGCAACATGTCCATAGTACCAAGGCGCTCGCCCAACTGATCATTTCAGGCCCTTGGGATGGGTGGCTGTGAACATTGCTTTGTCCTTATCTTGTCTCTTACTGCAAACACTGCTCTGTACATCTGGGATGGTGGCAAGCACTCTTTGCCCATGCTATGTTTTTTCAAGGTGGACCCTCATAAATATGTCCAGCATTGGCAATGTTGTGACATAATATCTGTAACAGCGACTGCCCCATTTGTGATGCCTAGTTTTCATAAGGGGACTCATTGATTGTCCCTGAGGGACACTGACCTTGAAGATTGTGCTCACTAGGGAAAGATCGTATCGGGCACCCACAAAAGAGATGCTAGATTGCATCCGGGTGATCTTTAGGCATGTAAACTCTATCATGCCCCAGTCTGCCAGCCCCGCGAAGCAGGGACCTCCCAGGCCAGCTCTGGCAGACGTCCCTTGGCTGCCCCACATACCCATGTACACACCCCCTGCGCCCATCGGCAGGTTGCTCGTGCCCATTGGCCACGGGCCCCTGGGGACGGGACCGGGCTCGGTGGAGGCACAGGTGCTGTACAGGCGGCTCTACAGGCTGATCAGGTGAGAAAATGATCAGCATCAGGGGCTTGTGGTTTCTGGTGTAGTTCAGATCTTCTGTTGCGCCCCAAACATTCTTTGGGTGTTCACAATCATGCTTGGTGTACAAATGTCAATTTAATACTCGAATAAGATAATAAGATGATCAAAGATTCAAGTCATAACTGAGAATCCATGTGCTGCCCCCATCCCAATGGGCAGCGATGCTGATGTGGATGGGATCACATGGAGTGTTAACTCTTGGAATTCTTGTGTTTCCCAACTGTGCTGTTCGATCTCCAGCGGGTTTGCAACTCCGAAGGCACCTGCAAGGCCAGTGGGAACCTGGAAATGATAGCACTGGGCAGGGCCACTGCACAGAATCATGTTTAGGGGACACTAGACAAGCACAGACAGGACATTTCTGTCCTCACCACCATCTGCGCTGTGCAAGGAATCTGTTCAGTTGCAAGCCACAGTGGATGTAATCTCCAGCCAGTGTTGTCCACCTGTGGATGTGGTGCAGCGCTGTGACTAAAACTGTTGACAAGGTGTACCTGTTGCATCCTTGATGTCAGCCATGACAAGGTGCGTGATATCAATGTATGGTAAATCTTGAACAGCAAGGTGGCAAAGGCAGGTATTTGGCACATACTTAAGTTCTTCCGCATCAAGATCATTATGCAAATGTTGCCTCCCACAGAGGGATGGTGATATATAAACCACAGATTTCTGGCTCCTGCTTTGCTACGATGCCCTGCCACTGTGGCTTTTGTAGCCTTGAGAGATATGTCCACATCCTATTTCTGCTGGGGCTGCTCTAAAGTACTGCAGGTGTTCCTGAAATCACCTGAACATAATGGTGCACCACTTCCCGGTGTTGGGGATTGAAGACGACGGGCATGATGTGCATTGGAATGGGACTCCAAAATGAGCATCAACAATTGCATCCGATGTCACTGCCTTGAAGACCTCCTTCAATAGTGTCTGCTGCTGTGCTGTTTGAGATGATGTTGCTGTTGGGCCATTCTTCTGACACAAGCAACCACTGAATTTAACCTCTGCCAGGCGAACCCTTTGTCATCACAAGCCCGAGAGCTCTGCATCTTTGGGCCCCATCACCGACCTTTTGTTGACACACCTCTCGCCCTGGAATCCCCCCTTGGGGGTCAAGAAGCCTGTGGTGCAATTGTCTCCTGCCCGGGAGAGCTTCACGCCAATCACCAATCAGCTCCAGCGATTCAGGCGTGGGGAGGGGCAGGCCAAGTCGCCACCGGTGGGTTTCAGTATGACAGCCTAACTTGATGCGAGCAGCATGGTGTGTTTGGCTTCTGCTTGAGACATGTCGTTGGGGTCTCTGGACAGACACACTGCTCGAATAGCTATGTGGCCTGCCACAGTGCCACTTAGCCCCATTGTTGGCAGGGCATGTTGAAAAGCACAGCTTGCAATGACTGCAGTCGGTCCCCCACAAGGCAATGCAACTTTTGTAAGTTTGCTGTTTGGGGTACTTACTGTGAGCTTGAAGCTAGTGGTGGCGTGAACCAAATGCTGGGTTGCGCTCTGTACCCTGCATGCACACAATATCCCCGCCTTCTGACTGGACCTGCAATTACAAGTGGGGCTGGAACCCCTATCCTGCCCTGAACATGCAAAATCCAATCGAGTTCATGTGCTTGGCTTCTGATGGCTGTAACTATTTCCCCCCACAGGGCGTGTACACGCCCACCTGGGAGCCCCACGTGCTGGCCAACCTGCCGTTCTACTGCATTCTGGTGCCACTCTTCGTTCAGTTCACCTGGAACCGGATGTCCTATCGCCCTGACACCGCCATCCGTGACTTGGTCCGGGTGCTCAGTGCCCTGGCAGCATCCCCGCTGCTGCTGCAGCTGCTGGGCGACGTTGAGGATGCCTACAGCCGATGGCTGGGGGGGCACGGCGCGGAGGCCGATGGCAGGTTTGGCCGGGGCTTCCTGTCATACCTTAGGGAGCAGGCTGTGGACTGGGAGAGATCGGCCAAGAGTGGAATGAGTCAGGAGGTGCTGCCGGTGAGTGCCGGTGACAGAAGGGAAGGCACCACAGCTCAAGGGGAGTTATGATGCTTGTGCCTTTGGTAGCTCTGTTGTATGCAATGCTTAGTCAGGATTGGGCTTCCAGCTGTGTGTTGCCGAGCGCTGAGTGCAGATGCTAGACAGGCAAACAGAGGGTGGCATGATCAAGTTTGCCTGGCCAGCAAACGTGCAGAAAGAAGGGCAATACACTTTTGAGTGCATGTGTCGTCAATTGACAAAACACTTGTTGCATCTATGGGGCAGATGACAGACTTTGCTCCTACACCTTTGTTTGTTCTAGCATGTACTTTAATTTCCCTCTTGGCCAATCAGCGGAGGTTAATCTGGGGGTTGGCACGAGAATTGAAGGCCTGCGCAACTTGAGGGGTCGCACTCGTGTGTGCAGGTGGCTCACAGCTGTCGGGTGGTGCAAGGGCCATTCGCACCCATTGCTGTTTTCGAACATCATGATGATCCTGCCTGCCACCAAGCTGTCCTAAGCACAATCTGCTTCACATGTTTCGATGCCAATGATTTTCATGTGTGGTGAAAACATGTTATGCTGGCAAAGCACCATTTGCCAGAAGACTGCCACATTGTTCCCTTCAATTGTACTTCTGAAGCGTTGGGAATGTTGGCTGTCAGCAATGTCCTTTATGGCATAAAGGAGAATTGCTACGGTTGTGCATCGTGTCAGAAATGGTTGTGCTGCTGATCCAGGTTTCAGGCGAGTACAGACTCTTCAGAACGGATGGACAGGGAGCTGCATGGATGGTGCAGGAGGTCCTCATTGCGGCTGACAAAGGTGATCGAATAGCCTCAGACACCGAACAATATCAGATATAACAATGTGGGAGCCGTCAGTATAGTAAGAAGTGAAAAATAGGTCACAGTTGACGTTGGTGTAGCAATGCACTGCTGCTGGATTGGGTTTGGAGTGTTGAGAGCAGAGCGCAAACTGCCAGGGAATGCCTGCAATTTCCTAATATGTTGCCAAACGTAATCGCAGCACTAGCGAACCTGAAAGGATAGCATCCACTGTTGGAAGTGGCATCTCAACCCAGAGTCTGTTGCCTGTATTTAGCAGTACGTCAGAAGTATCTCAGAAGCCTAACCAGAAGGAGCACCGATTCTTTACCTTTGGTACACACCATCGATGACGAATTCGCACTCCGTTCCTGTCCTTGGCACTGCTATGAAGCTTGAAAGCTGCTGCCAGTGGCACAGCAGGTTGTCATGTGGCTTAACCAAACACCGCTGATGCAGAAGTCCAGGGCTTCTGTGTAGGTGTCCTATCTGTGATGGCGGGGAAATGGTACGAATTTGGTAGGATGGTGTACAACACAGTGACCAGTACGAACAACAGTGCAATGTGCTCAAAGACTCAGTTGGCGTCTCCAAACTAAGATTCACTTACTCTGACCCAAAATGGATGGCAGTTATGATTTGTGGTCTTCACCAGTTGTTAGATCAATTGGCTAAGTACTGAGGGAAATATAACCTCTCAAACATTGGAATGTCAGAGCAAATATTGTGCAAATCTCAAGGTCGCTCAGAAAAGGCCTGGCCCCTGATAATTGCGATTTGCAGCCCCTGCTTTGAAGCACTTGCTGTTCGTTGTTATGGAGTGCGTACTGGAGACAGAAAGTAACAACAGCTTCAAGTTGCCCCGGCAAAAGCAAATCTGGGAGAAGGCCGTGTCGGAAGTGGCTGCTAGGCCCAACTAGGTGACTGATGCAACCTGCTTTGAGGCACGGTGAAATGGCCTGAGATTGAATTTGTGGCAGATGGGTGTGTGTCCTAAAGGTGTAAGGTGTGGCACCTGGATTTTCCGTTGCATATGTTTCTTTGTATGGTTTAAAAGCATCCAAAACTAGTTTCGCCGATTTGTTGACCACCATTCTTTTGGGGCAGAGGAAGTATGGGCCAAGCTGGGCCCTGTGGAATTGCTAAAAACTTCTGCAGGGGCGCTGTTCAAGTCAATTGCAACTGGCAAAGCAAGGAAGGAATTCATCAACCACCTTCATGAAAAACACTATGACGTGATGTCAGAATGTCAGATCAGATGCGAACAGCAGCCTGTGCTTCAGATTAGATACGAACGGCAACTGGAGCTACTCTTGTTGCCATGGATTTGACACTCATGCACGCCTCATGAGGGTGATGACCATCACTGGTGAAGACTGGCACCAACAGCAAGGTCGAGAAACCTTAACTTCACACAATTGATGTGCCTAGGCTGGTCTACGTGTATAGATAGATGTGTTTGCACTTTGACATGCAGCGAAACGCCCAAAGTACACAATTGGATGCAATCCTAATACAGTTCACCACCCCAATGCACAGTTTTCTGCAATATAGCACCTTGTAAGCTAGGAAATGTGCAAAACGCCGATTTCTACTGCCACAGACTGCAAGAAACGAAGGTATTTCCAGCAGCTGCAGGACACCGCACGCCGGGTGCTGCCCATGGACGCCGTCCCGCCGCCCGAGATGCTGCCCACGGATGAGTCCCTGTTACACACGTTCAACGATGACGCGGGGGATGCCATGCGGTGGCCCATCACGTCCTCTGAAGTGACCTGGCTGGTGGAGCCCCTGGTGGTGCTGTCGGACCGGCTGAATGAGTTGTTCGACCTGCCAGCTGCCCCTCCGGGAGGCTGGTCGAGCGGCCGGCACTGGCGGGGGTCCGAGGACGGCGATCTGGACTCGCCCCGGCGAGATGGGTCCCCTGGCGTCCGTTGCAGGTTGGCTTGTTGGCTATTTTGTTTCCGAAAAATCCTTTCATTGCAGTTTGCACGTGAACGTGACGAAACACTGCCCTGGGGCCTTATGGGCAATGTTGGGCTTTGTTGGCTTAATTAACAGTTTCTTGTTCTTGCAGCGTTTGTGACCGTATTGAGCTTTCGGTGTCCAGGAGTTGAGCTGCTGTGGTGATGTGGTGATGTGTGTCGCAGCTTGATGCTCCAGGTACTTAGGGTTTGAAACCCTTCCGCATTGTAACGTAACGCTTGGCCCTTTTGTTGCGGAGAACACAATGAAATAGATGACATTCTTTCAACAGAGCTTTTGTGGAGCAAAGTACAAAATCAAAAGCAACGCTCTAAAAGATGCAGAGCAAAAAAACGTAACGGCAAATTTTCCGATGCGGAAGGGTTTCAAAATCTATGGTACGATAAACCATCTGAAGCAGTGAGGGAGATTTGCGCATTGGAATCAACAAGAGAAGAGCGTTTGGCCTGGCAGTTGCAGCGTCGCTGATTTGCGCCTTGATCGCATCTGTGCAGTGGGCAGGGCATTGCTCATGCGTGTGGGGCCCAAAGCAGCGCAGGATGGTGGGAATGGAGGCATTGTGCGTGTCGAAATGGCATTCAGCGTGCCAGTCATTTCTATGATGACCGATTAACTGGCACATTAATCCATCTATTAGAGCGGGAACCAAAGTGAGAAACAATGGAGCAAACCTGAGTGGTGCAATGCCACAGTTAAGTGCATTGGTAACGACATGCACCTCAACAATGATGACACTGAGTTTAATGTGTTTCTGCAAAGCAGTGTGAGGACGTGCTAAAGCCTCTAGAAACCTGATGCTGTCTGACAATTCAAGTTCAATAGACACATGTGGCACGACCACTGTGTCGTACTTTCGCGTTGCCTTCAAGGATGCATTCATTCTTTCAGGCACGTCAACAATGACCGGAAGCGTCCCCGGTCGTGTTGCAGGTGACAGCCAACGACACTGCCAAACGCACCCCCAAGGCAGCCAATGCGCCATTCTTCCTAGCGCCTGCACCGGCATGGCCCAACCCAATTCGTACGGACGGCCCCGCTACCACTGGAACATACCCATGAACACCCCAGTCTCCAAAACATCTCTGCGAGCAGTGCCTCAAGGTGGAGAAATGGCTGTTGCAGGTTGGACACGCCGATGTATGAGAGGGGCTGGAGGCGCCGGCCGGCGTCCGATGCTGGCGAGCCAACAGAGGTCACGTGGCGGAATTTACTGTGCGAGCAGGTTAGGGAGTGGTCTGAGGAGGTGGTTGTGCGGTTTATTGTGCCTCTGGCGTTTTGGGTGATGGGACACGTGAAGTCGAGGAAGCCCCATTTCAGGTGGGTGGGCACAAAACTGCTCAAGCCGTGCGCTTCAAGAGAGCCAGCCTGAATATTGTACTGCAATGTGCTTGACACAATACATTTAGCTTCAACGGGTTCAATATGTGAAGTATGTCGTACGCAATAACATGTGTTGGTATTCTCTGTTACTTGTTGAATTACTTCACGTGCTGAATGTCTAGAATATGTTGGACCGGTTGGGGTTGGTGGTGTGCAAATCTCCCAGTTGCTTTTGTTTCCGAGACAAATGGGAGGATTGTCACTCTCAAAGGGTGACAACGAATTGGCCAGAAAGCAAACCAGAAAGCGGACGCAAAGCCGAAGGGACCCGTACGGGCAACATAAGAGCTGTGAAGTGATCATGCGCCATGACTCGTTGTGTCAGGCCTACGTTGATACGATATTTCCAGCCGCAAGTGAACCATGTCAAGTTGGCGGCATCCATCTCCTGGGATATTGCTTGATGCCCTGTTCCGCACTGGGGGCATGACGAACGCCATTTTGGACTCGGTCATGCTGGAACGAGGATGCCCAGGCATCCAGGGAAGAATGCAACCATGAGCCTTGTTCACTTGGGCGCAGGTTCAACCTGAGGTTCGGCGCAGACCGCCTGGGGCTTGCGTGGAGCTTTGGCCTCTTCTTCCTCATCCGCATGCTCATGTACGGGCTGTCATGGCTGTCACTGATCTGCCTGTTAGCATTGCAGACGGCAATCGCATACACGTGAGCCCGGGGCTGTCCGTTGTTTCCCGTTTTCGCGTTCCATTTCAAGCTGCCCTGCCACACAGCCATGCCCACCATTCGAAGTGAAGTCAGGAACAGTGGTAGCCCGCCAGTGGCCCTGCACAATCAGCGACAATCGCCCTCGACCAGGACAGTGCTTTGTGCTTTGCAGCTTGAGCATTTCCTGTCATCAGCGGGAAACGTACCCATGATATTGCTGGCTTGTGCGCCCAATTTTCCGAGGCTCTATTAGAGGGACATCCGCTGAGATGGCGCTTGGCGTCGCATGGCTGAGCTCTGCCTTTCGGGACAACGCGGTGATCGCTTTCTTGGGCGTTGAATGGGCTGATGTGGTAGCAATGGAGGTCGAGATCCATCTAAATGTTGGCAGGCGGCAGTACCATTTGATTGCAGGCGGGGAGTTGGCAGCAAGGATGGTCGTCTGGCTCATAGAACAGGACACAAGGTGCCAGTGCCCCTTGGTAGAGACGTTGATTTCAAAACATGACTTTCTGACTTCAAGACCGTTGAACAAGCTGGTGGGAATGAGTACTGGGTAATGGGTGTGGAGTGGGAGGTGGCCATCCATACATTTGCTAGCTCGATGTTCATCTGAAGTGAACCTGAGAGCGAATGCAAGGATGTATGACACGCACCCTCTCAGAGCTGTCCATCTAACAGCAAGGGCCCTTTCTCGTGCCATGATTTATACTCGCACATGCCCAGGCCTCATCGATACGAAATCCCCGTGCGAATGGACAATGGGCCGTCATTGAAACAACCGTAGCTTGAACCATGCCTTTCGGATTCCAAAATTGCGTCCGCGAACTGCCCTCGCAGCTCAACCACGCACCAACCTTCCTCCGATGACGCTCATCCTTGAACGGCAAAGCCCTGCCAATCCATCTTGTGGTGGGCGACAAAGTCAGAGAGCATGTTACGTGACTCAGAATAGGAACATGATGAAAATGTATCACATGGCTGGCCGAGGTCGCACTCTCTTCAGCACCGCAGTCTTGACCGCCAGAAGGGCCACCCTGCAGCACAGGAGCGCCAGAAGGAAGTAGGCCGCAGGGCCTCGCCTGTGTATTTTGGAGAATGCCGCGCCCAGGAGCAGCCTGGCGCGTTTTTTGTAGGATCTCCGCGTCGCAATCTGGACAGTCCACAATTGCTCAGCAACTGAGTGATCACGAACATGCATGCCTGCTGCCTTCTGGATGATCTGGCTAAACAAGCTGGAAATAGCATCGAATGTAAACAATTCGCTGCAACAACAATAACACGTGTTGTGGTTTGTTGATGGCACACATGCCAGCGTGCAAGATTCTGCGCTGCTCGCTGCCCGAAAGTTAGCAAGGCCACGATTGCATCTTGCCATATTGGGATCCCTGCAGTACGTTAGCCCGTATTTGGTAATCATTGCGAGACATGGGCCAACGTACTGCAAGTATTCCCTTTGCGTCACACACAGTGGGACAGCGTAACACTTGGGAGCACTGCTGAGAGCATTCTCCATCCTGTGGCCGTTCGGGCTCGAGGTGCAGCAGAAGCAACGCCAGCTGATCCGCCACCACCACAGATGAACTTCCCACCACCTTTCAGCGCTTCTGCTGGGCGGCCCTGGACGTGGCCATGATGCGTGTTGATGGATGATGTATTGCGAATATAGCACAGACGGTGACGTGCACATTCCTGTCGTAATACCGTATGTACGTAGTATATTCAACCCTTTCGCACAGCAGCGTAACGCTTGGCCTTTCTGTGCGGGGAAAACAATAAAATAAATAACGCTTTTTTAACAAGTTTTTTGCGGAGCAGCGTCAAACAACAACGCTCTGAAAACAGTGCGGAGCACAAACCGCGACGGCAAATATTGTTTGATGCACAAGGGTTGAATGTACAGCGTTAGGAAACCTTCGCCTTCAGCGCTTCGACGCAACCCTGCAGCAGATTACAGCCAGCACCGCCAGGAGGATGCCAATCGGGCAAAGCGGGTCCAGCCGCAGCTTCTTGCTCACCTCCAAGTCCCTGCCAGAGGCCCTCCAGGAGCCGCTCAGCATCGCCCTGGGCAGCCCGGCAATCCGCCGAAGCGCGCCGGAGCACCAGGTGGCCAGGAGACCGGCCATCAGGCCCCTCCACCTGCGCGCCTCCGGCTCGTGCAGCTGCCTCAGCAGCGCCGGCCAGTCGGCCTCGAGCAACACCCGCCGCAGCGCCGTGGAGCGCCTCGACAGCACCAAATCCGAAAACGCCGACGCGCCCCTCGGGATGTCGGGCGCGTCCTCAGAGCCCCGGATCGATCCCGGCATTTCCCAGTGCTCGTATCTGCCAACCGTGTTCATGCTGCTTGGGGTTGGCCCCGCTGGGCCAGGGTCCAACGCGCCCTTGCCGTTCGACGAGCTGGATGGAGCAGACGTCGCAGGGGACGCGACGCCGTTGTGCGAAGCGACCCTGCCGAAGTCCGCCGACGGACGCGTGCGCTCTTCGCGGCTGCCATTCGAGTTCTCGCCGGCGTACCCAAAACCTGCCCCCGCGGCCAGCGCGCCGTTGGACGAGGCCAAAAGCGCGCCCGACGCGTCGGCACCGCTCCAGCTCCCTTGGCAGCCGTTTGGCGACGGCACTTGGCCCGCATGCGCGCCCCATCCCGACTCCGCCGTTGAATTGGAGTTCGCCGCATCATGCCCGCTTGCGGACGCAGATTCGCTGTCCTCTTTGGAAGAACGTGCGCCTCGCGCCTCCTGCTCCTGTTGGACACTGTCGTGTTCTGGAGCACGCGGCATGTGGCCTGTGGTGCGATCCGCGCCGCTGTGCTGTGCCTTGGGGCCCGCGAGTGCCAATCCCGGATTGGGGACCTGCGGGCCACCCGCCTCCCTCTCCCACAGATCAAGGAGGTCGCTGAGCCACCCTAATGCCAACGTTCCGTCGCCCTTGAGCAGCAGCTCCCTGAGCAGCGATGCGCTGCTTTTCCTGGAGCGAATACAATACAAAACAGAATATGGGCCACCGAAATCCTTCACCGAAGTGCGACAACAGCCAACCGAAAATTACGAATAAGCACTTGTAGCAGAGAGCAAATAACACACAGGCAGCTGACACAGCTTACAAACGAATTGACGCTGACCTGGCGATGACAAATTTGCAAAGATCCTGTGATGACCTGCAAGCGGCAGTGTAAGGTGTACTGCTTTGTTACTTTTGGCCCCACAGGGGGTACTGTGCACTGTGTACATATACGCCCACATATACACACGTGTGCGGGTACATGTGGATGTGCAAGCGGGGCAATTTCGCACGATCTCAGGCGCATTCTTTGCGGCACCCTTCGTCGGCGGTGCTCAGGGCTGGGAACATCATCTCCGTATCAGGCAATCCATGCAAATCCATACGAATCCATGCAGATCCACGCCAATCCATGGCAATTCATGCGGGCTCATTGCCCTCTCGCCTTTTGTCAAATAGCAGTCTTGTGATTGCGAAGGGAAAGGCGGCCCTCACGATCTTGAACTTTGGGTCCGCCTTGAGGGCGATGCCCTCCAGGGTGACCAGGGACCGGACGATGAGCGTGTAGTAGGGGGGAAGCCGGAAGCGGTACTTGAAGGCGACCTTGACCATGACCTTGGACAGCGCCCCGAAGCTGAGTCCAGAGCTCCCGGACGCCAGAAGGGACGTCATGGGGGACGCTTCAGAAGTCGAAGCCTGCAGCAGGTCATGAACGCCCAGTGAGCCACAGCTCACGAGTCGGAGCAAGTGGGAGTGCAGTGCAGGCCTTATCCCGGGCACATACTACTCTGCCACGTGCGTGCACTTAGTTCAAGTAGGAATGAGTAGGAGAATAATGTATGGTTGTTTTTTCTTGTGCCGCATTTGCCGACATTGGGTAGAGGAGAACTGACGTATTTCACACACCACGTGCAGCAGCTTGTCGACGTTGACAAGTTGTATCCGGGCACACATAAGCCCCCGTCATTACAATGTAATTGTAAGCAGTCACCAGCAGAAATTTCTGTTGTACATTTTTGGAGTGGGAAAAGGAAAGCAGCAACACTGGTACTCATGAGGCAACACAAGGACTGCGGTGCATAGGTATGCTGAGCATGTTCTTGGTGTCCAGTTCATCGCCTTGCACATGCACAGGCGTTGTTCATCAGCGGCGGATCTGCGATAAAGGGCTGGGGTGTTTGATATACTACAGAGCCAAAAATGCGGAACACAGCATGATTCGCGTTACTCCACACAATGTGTTAGAATTCAGCTCGGTTCGATTTGCCGTAGACTGTACTCAGCCCTGATGCTGTGATTCTCTATTGCTGTACTGTTCTGTGTGCTCTTTGCAGAGCAAAGACATCACGAAAGGACTGAGTCGCTGAAAGCAAGGCTGACGAGCAGCCTTGCTGCTGATTTGACTCGTGGGGTTTGCTTGGGTACACCCCGGTGGTGTTACCACTGACGTGAAAGCATGCAAGGCACAGGGAGCACAGCTACGAAGACCGTGCTTACAGCAGATTCTCCCTCACTTGCTCGGCTGGCGCTCATGGTGTTGGAGAACTCCTCTCCAAGGTCATAGGCAAGGGCTTCCCTGTCTGTGGTTGGCTTCAGCAGGTCCATGGCATCCAAGTCAGTGGCAAAGCTCCGCCAGTCGCGAAGGACGAGGTGCACCAAAAGGCTCATCATCGCCTGCACGGTTGGCATAAGAATCTTCAGGCGAACGAGGGTTTGCCAATGAAAAAACAGCACGAAGTACCCTGCAGCTTATGTGCCATCCTGTATGTGCGCCGGAAAATGTGACGTGCATACCCAGGATAGGGTTAGATCCTGCCACCATATCCAAGGTAGGCATACCCGGATACTAAGCGTCCACTCGCACAACATGGTCATATCCTGAACATGCGCATCAAGGATATGCGACTTGGTGCCCACATGGGGTGCACTCCAATCAGGGCTGCAGGGAACACTCAAACTTGGCCTCGCCCCAAACAAAACGAACCAGCTGTGCAGACATTCGCGATCCAAATCTTTCAGGCTAACTCATGTTGAACAACACTGATGGCTGTGCAAGCAAGGAAATTTGGCGCCATTCCTAGCCATGCAGAATCAAAAGGAACTTTGTGATGTTCTGCTGTTGACCAAGTATGTCACATTTCCCAATGGACTGAGAAGATAACAGAAATGCAAAGCAGGGTTTGTGCCAAGAATTGTCACAGCCTCATGACCAGACCACCATGCCACACCAGATTGATGTTTGCTTCATAAACCATGAGACACTGGAAACATGGGTTAGCAACACTGCTAACAAGTGATGTCAGGCTTACACCAAGCCGTGAACGTCAAACTGATGCAATGCAGCACGAGGATATCAAGTCGCCGGCAAAGTCCCTGTTGGAATTGGCACAGGCATCCCAGACTCGATGTCCCCACTCTACCTCAGATGTTTTCGGAGGAACATACGCCAACAGGCCGAAATCTAGGTACACCAAACTGCCATCGCCCGCCGACAGCATGATATTTCCTGGGTGGGGGTCAGCATGCATCACACCCGTGTCCAGCAGCTGGCACAGCGAACACTCGATTCCCATGTCCACAAGGTTCAGCACCGCCCGCTTTGCCATTGCCGCTGCCTGCAGATCATCCGCAGAAGTGGAGTTGCTATTTGCCACCCTGAGCAGCTCCGTCGGGCTGAATCCATGTACCCACTTGGTGGTGAGGACCCTGCACCAAACTGAAGTTTCTTCATGCCAAGGATCAAACACAGTGATGCATGAAGTCAGCAACTCAGGGTACTAATGTTCAAGAAGGCATTCTGAGTTGTTGGGTCAAGCTACAATGCTGCAAATTGACGTTTTTTTTTAATTGAAGTAAATACCAGTTCATTGTATTTTCGTCACAGGACAAGGCAAAGGCCTTTCACCAGCACTGGCAATGTCGGGCACTGATCCCAACCACATGGATGTGCTCGTTCCTGCACTGCCTGTCGATTTTCACACCCTGCTCCCCTAAGTTGGAATGTCTGTGGAGCGCTGCCAGGGCTTGAAATGTCAAAAAACTCCCCTTGCATCCTTTCCCAGAGTTTGCAGAAGCCCAAAGCACATTTCTTCACGTTCCACAGCTGAAACCACGCAGAGCTGACATCACCACTGTTTTCCGCTCTGCAGATTTTAAATCAGATACCGATGTTCAAATTCCGTTTCCCTCCAACTTGAAGAGACACAAATCTCCCTCCACTCCGCCATGATTCCAAGAATGATGGCCCATCAAATAATGTTCAAAAACAACCCAAGTAACAGATTGCATGACAAACACTATGTCGAAAGGAACAGGCGCATCACTATGCACCTCTTGGTCGTCAGCCTATGCACCACCTCAGGTGTTGTGACAAAACCCAGGTGGCGGTGAGCGGCAGAAAACTCCCTCGCTTGGGCTGCCTCCCTTCGGTAGTCCAGTTCCCCGCACAGGCCTTCTGCAACCTCGTCCACCAGCAGGCGCAGGTCTGTGTTTATGCCTGCAGCGCTGCGGACCACGCTGAGCAGGAAGCGCAAAATGTAGATGTCCAGTGTTATGCTCTCGAGCAGGTTTGGCCTCTGGACCTTTGGCGCCAGGGTAGACATGATCAGCATGGAGAACAGAATCACAACACAAAAGACAACAACACAGAAGCAATGATGTGAACAAGTCAATAACATGGTTGGTGTCAGCAGCACAAAAATGGCACAAAAGAACAAGTCCATTCCCTTGATCCACAAGGAGAAAACAAACATGGGAAGACTTAAAGCATTAACAGCAGTAAGCTGGATCACCAACGCCAGCCCTGCAGCCACCTGCACAAGGTACTGCCTTGACAATATTTATCAAAATTTCTGAAGGCTACACAATCATCATCTTCTTCAAGTAATACAGGTGGCTGCCAGTAACGTCAGTGCCTGTTGAACACTTCCCCGATTGGCATACACGTCGTTGGCTGTTTCTTTCAACAAGATACCGCAGCTGCACTGAAGGGATGGTCAGCAACCATCCTTCCTCCTTGTCAATGTGCGATTTTTCAGGTGGACGACATAAGGCTTCCAGGGTAGTGGCCCCAGTTGGAAAAGCACTTTCACAGGAAAGAGGGTGCAGCACTTTCCTACAGTTGCTGCTCCAGGTACTACTGTCGACAGGAACAACCCATACCTTCACTGCCACCTGCGTGCCATCCTCGGCAATGACACCAAAGTACACCTGGCCAAGTGATGCTGCAGCCACTGGTCTGCCATCCAGGTGAGAGAAAACTTCGTCGATCGCCATGCCCAGTTCCGCTTCCAGCACGCGCTTGGCTGTCTCGTCATCGAAGGGGGGGCTCGATGTCTACAGGACAACCGTCCGCAACAAACTGGAACTGTCTAGAGCTGTCCAGTGGACACCAAAGCAAAATCATGGGTCGGATTCGTTCACAACAAGGTTGCACGGTTCTCCAATGTTATTGTAGCATACTCAACGCTTCCGCATAGTAACGTAACGCTTGGCCTTCTTTTGTGGAGAGAACAATAAAATGGAAAACGCACTTTTAGCAAGGTTTTTACAGGACAGTGTAAAGAGAATAAAGATAATGCTCTGGAAAAAAATGTGGAGCAGAAAGCAGAACGGAAAATTCTTTGATGCGGAAGAGTTGAATATACTACGGTAGTTGGCCACATGCCCCACAGAATGTAAGCGGCTTCATTATCTCTTGCACTGGTATGTATCCCTGCTTTTCAGACACATCTCTGCAGTGCATGTTGCCATACAGATGCGCCAGTTAAATGGCTGCTATGGCACTGACTTTCTGGAGAAGGGACTTCAGCAGTGAAATTCCAATGACTGCATGGTTAGCCGGTCACCTGCAGCTTTGTCAATTCTTCACTGACGTCTTCTCCAACTAGGTCTGGCCTGGTGGCCAACGTCTGCCCAAGTTTGACAAAAGTCGGCCCAAGGCTGGTGAACAAGTTACGGAGCGCCTTCCCCCTCTCGGCCCAGCTGTGTGACACAGCAGTCAATCCACTCCAGGCAACAAAACCCACCCCCGAGCTGACAACCTGATCATACAATACAAGAGCCTGTCAGCACTTCTCTTCAACCCCCAGTAGTGCATTGTCCCATTGACACTTACTATGAGTGAAAGCGCATTGATACAGAATTGGGAGAATGCGATTGTTGTAACCCCTTCTTTCTTTCCATATTTGTTCCGGACAGGCTAAAATCTTGCAGGGCGATAGGCCATTGTGACGTGTTCCCATCAGCAGGCATGGTAGCCACAACTACCCTTATGTTTAAAAGCAACATTTGCCTGTCATGCCACATGCAGGTCGAAAGCAGTTTCCTACACTTTCCTGCACTTCCAACCAAACCAGCACAGGCAAGGCAAAATGTTCTTGATACCTCTAGGAGAGATTTGAGCCGCCATCGGCTTCTTCCCCAACAACAGAAAATTCTGAGAGTCTCAGAGGCTGCTGGGTTGACTGTTTAGTGTCATCAAGAGACATGAACTAAAAATAAACCAGAGCTTCTACCTGTAATTACAACAGCACAAACGTCACAGTTCACAGTCATCGTCACAGTTACCAGCAACAGCCCCTTGTTGCCCGTTGTCGGCAAGATTCTTGCCTGTAACACCTGCATCTGCGAACCATGGCCTTCCCACAAGGCACATCTGCTGCCATTGGTGGTGAGAAGCGAGGATTTGTTATCGCGTGATCAACAGGAGAAGCAAACATTCATGGCTACGCAAAATGGCTGGTCCAAAGGTCGCAGACATTCGCTGCCCATTGGATGGGCAGCGTGCAGGATCATGACCCCAGGTGCATTGGCCAAGCATTGGATGGAAATTTCGGCTCATGTCATCGCCTGGAGGTGTAAAGTCTTTGTTTGTCCCAGCTATGTGCCAACTGTGCTTCATGGAGGTTCATGCAGGAGCGCGCACAGCCTACCTCCACCAGTCTCGTCCAAACCAGCCAGGGCCGCTGCCCAAAGTACTTCTCAGAGGCAATGGGGTCGTAACAAGTGCTGAGTCCCAGCTCCACCTGCGACCACGAGGGTCCAAAACGTCTCCCAGCCGTTTGCAATTGATTCAACTTACAGTTTGTTGAGATCCCAAGCTGAACATTGCCGCACGGCCTCACTTCAAGGGTGTCGTTTTGTCGTGGATGTTTCTTCCCAAATGTGAGCATTGGGATTCAAACATAGTCTACTTCGCCTTGCTGGTGTAAGGGTTGTGTTTTCTCAGGTTTTGGCAAACACACTCAAAGGATTTGTGCATGTGCCCACATGAGCGTGCGAGTTGAAACGAACACTTGATGTCTGATGTGCAATAATATGAGCCTGTGTGCACAAATTCCACCCGATTTCCCACGTCGCCAAGGGTGATTGCAAATGAGCAAATCCTAAAAAGGCCTTTTGGCCCATGCAGACACAAGACTTCGCACACCGTAACTTGGCCTTGCACCCATTCTTATGGAAGGTTGCTGCGAATCAACTATTGTCCTCATGGGGCAATCCTGATGAACGATTATCCGATTCCCCTGGAAGACACCACGACCTCCGATCGCAGCAAATATGGTCTTCTCACAGAGGTGGCAACATGCCTCGCGATTGGCAGTCGCCGCCCAAATCAAGAGATTGCGCGAGACCGAGAGCCGCAGACATGCGACGCAGAAGTCGCCGACCGCGGTAGCAGCAGCGCACAACGCCAAACAGCACGGATGGCAAGAGCCGCCACCTCTGCGCCTGCGCCCGAGCGGCCCATTTGCGCGGCAAGCGGCAAGACAGGCCGACAGAATGGAGGGCGGAGATGAGGGGGCGGCCAGCACACACGAGACACGCCCCGGCGCCCAGCGGACGACCGACGCGCCCACGGGTACAGCGCGGCAGCGACGCTCTACCTTTCGAAGGCGCGTTTAACAGAAACAACGAAGAGCAAAGGCAACTTTAACAAGAACAGAAACGTAGCTGGCGGTGCTGCGCCTGGGGCCCCTGGGCCCCCGTAGCCGCCCACCGATTCGCACGACGCGGCTCTGCTTTGCCCGCCGCTCCGCCCCCGGCGCGTGGATCCCCTCCAGCCAGATCCCCTCCGCCTCGTCAGGCTCCTTCCGTCCGTGCCGATCGCCCCTGGAGCCAAACAAAGAGTCCTCCGGCACGGCAATGGGGGCGCCGGCAGGCCCACGCCGATCCAACCGCGCTTCGATGCGGCCATCGATGGGCCGGCGGTCGCCCGGGGGGGAGGCAGACGGGGCAAGGGGAGGGAGGCTTTGGCGGAAGCGCGTGGGCGGAGGGGGGAAGGGGGGCGGGCTTGTGCTTGGGGTGTGGCCAACTCATGGAAAGTGAACCCAGGGGAGGGTCCAGGGCCAAGGACGGCGGGCTACTGGTAGTACTGAGGTATTCAACGCGCGGTAGTAAGCCCGTGGAGGCCGTCCACGGTGCGAACTGGGCGGAGGCCTGTGAGTACACAGATAGTAAATCACAAAGCCCAAACGCCCAGTCCCAACGCCATCCCCGACCCGTAGAGGTCTACGCCCGCGTCTCCGTATGCATGGTCTCCATAGTGGTGCGGTGTGAATCTGTGGCGATCGACGTGAAATCGAGTGGGTTCAAGGCCCGGTGTGTTCTTGTGGGAATGAATGGGCGACGTCCGTTCGTTGCATTGTGTGGTCGCCGTGATAGCGATTTGTCACCGTTTGGGTCACCAAACGACTCGCCTGTATGATCAGGCAGGTAACGATCATACACGTCAACGCGGTGTTCATGAAACGCTGGTTGTGCGAGGGCCGAAGGGCGGCAGTTCTGGACACAGAACAGAAGGACAAGAACTGAGTGGCACTGCAAACCACACAGTGTCAAATTTTCGAGCGGCTCCTTGAAAAGCTTGCTGCGAGGCGCCGATTCGATAGTATTGGCGCCCACCTTTACAGGTGAACTCATCGTGGAGCTGGTAGGTATGCGTTGAAGAAGTGAAGATGGGCGGCGGAGTTTTCACTTGACAAAAAAGTGCAACTTACATCCGTTTCTTCCCATTTCTGTCATCCGTTTGTACGAAGGATCATGCAGCAATCAAATTGCAGCCGCCACTGGGATCCACCCAGTCCACAACTGCGAAGAAATCCAGCTGCAGGAATTGCGCACTCCTGCCCCTTCTTGTCCCATACGTCGGCCAAGCCACACTACCTTTCACCGGCGGTCATCCAATGTTCACGTGACCATCAACGCACCCCAAGCACTGACGCGCCCTCCTCTTCAATACAGCCTGAACAAATTTGTATAAAAAATTCCTGATCTTGCCCACATTCCCAACTGCGCCATTCATGCAAATTTTTCACGCCAGGTCGTGCGAGTACTCGGCCAACGCGGCCGGCGAGGACTTCAAGCCCCGTGCCTCCGCTCATGGCCCTTCAACCTGATCTTGGCGACGATGAAGTCCTCGCGCCTCGTGAGGTGGAAGCCCACCTTCTCGGACACCTGCTGCATGGCGCGGTTCTCGGGCAGCATCTCGGCGGTGATGCACTCCAGCCGCTCGTCCCTCCCAATCTGGACCATCTGCTTCAGCAGCCGGAAGCCAATCCCCCGCCTCTGGTAGGCGTCCGCGACCAGTATCGCGAACTCCGACTCGTTGAACGCGTGCTTCCTGCTCAGCCTGCCCGCGGCCACGATCTCCCGGTACTCCCCGTCCTCGCCCCTCCTGTCCACCACCAGCGCCACGTCCTTGTCGTAGTCCACGTGGCAGATCCGTATGAGCCGCTCGTGCGTGGTGCGCATGCTGAACTTCATGGGGTGGAAGTACCTCATGTAGACGCTGCGCTCCGACAAACTCTTGTGGAAGTCGACGATTAGCGGCTCGTCCTCCGGCCGGATTGGCCGAATTCTTACGCCAGTGCCATCCTCCAGCGTCCAGGGGAGCACCCATTGGGTGGGGTACGGCCTGATCGCCGGCCGCGGCAGGGACTCCAGCTCCCTGTCCCTTCCGTGCAGCTTGATCCTGGCGTCCAGCGCCAGGATGGGATACCTGGCGTCCTTGCTGCTCACCAGCAAGGGGTTGATGTCCATCTCGTCGATCCGCTTCTGCTCCAGCGCCAGCTGGCCGATCCGCACCAGCAGCTTCTCCAGGGCGGCCACGTCGGCCGGCCCCCGCCCTCGGACGCCCTGCAGCGCGCGGTAGATCTTGGTGCGGCTCATCAGCTGCCTGGCCAGGGTGGTGCTCAGCGGCGGCAGGGTGATTTGCGTGTCCTGGAAGACCTCCACCAGGCTGCCGCCCGTGCCGAATAGGATCACGGGCCCGAACTGTGGGTCCGTGCTGCTGCCCACGATCAGCTCGTGCCCGGCGTCCCTGCTGATCATCGGCTGCACCGACACGCCGCCGAACGCCTCCGGCCCCACGGTCTCCGTGACGGACTTCCGGATGCCCTGGTACGCCGCGCGGACGTCCATTGGCCCGTAAAGGTTGAGGTGCACGCCGCCCACGTCGGTCTTGTGCGTCACCGTCTTGGACAGCAGCTTGACCACCACGGGGTAGCCCAGGTCCTCCGCGACGCGCACGGCCTCGTCCTCGGTGTGGGCGCTCGGGGAGGCCACCGTGGGAATGCCGTAGGCGCTCAGTATAGCTTTGGACTCCACCTCGGACAGCAGCGTGCGCCCCTCTCCCAGGGCCGCGTCAATCACATCCTGGACCACGACATTTGCGGGCGCGCCGTTTTCCATGCCGCCTATCTCCTTGTCCAGCAGCAGGGAGGGCGTCTCGTACAGGTGCTCCAGGTCGCGCTTGTACTTCCACAGGTAGTTGAACGTGTCGGCCGCGGAGTCGGGGTAGGCGTAGGTGGCGATGTTGGCGCGGTTGAGCACCGACTTGCCGCCCTCCACCTCCGACCCCCCCATCCAGCTGGCGAGGATCGGCTTCTGGGACTGCTTGCTCACACGCCGCAGCTCCTCGGCCGTCACCGTGGGGTCGGTCATGGCCTGGGGCGTCAGGATGACCAGCAGGCCGTCGCTGTTCGGGTCCTTAAGGGCCACCTCCAGAGCCCGCCCATAGCGCACCGGGTCCGCGTCGCCCAAGATGTCGATCGGGTTGCCGTGGCTCCATGGAGCCGGCAGGAACTCGTTGAGCTCCGCCATCGTCTCCTCGGACAGGGTCGCCAGCTGCCCGCCCCCGGCGACCAGGGCGTCGGTGGCCAGCACGCCGGGCCCGCCGGCGTTAGTCAGCACCGTCAGCCGCGGCCCCTTGGGCAGCTTCTTGTCGCCCTTGCACAGGATCTCGGCTATGTCGAACATCTCGGAGATCTCCCTGACGCGCAGCACGCCGCACCGCCGGAAGGCCGCGTCCAGGACGGCATCGCTGCCCGCCAGGGTGCCCGTGTGGGAGGCGGCGGCCTTGGCAGCCTCTGCGGTGCGGCCGGCCTTGATCACGATGATCGGCTTGGTGAGGGCCACCTCCCTGGAAGACCAGCCAACCAGCCACAGAACCGCCGTCAGTCGCAAGCCATTTTCGCTCCGGCCGCGCCCTTCACCAGGCACCGCGGCTAGTGAAGGGGCGGTGCTTTGTCCCGTTCGAGGTGCGTGATCACCGGGGTTGCGCTCTCGATCGGATCCAAACAGCAAGCCAGCGGCGGCCTTCAGTATACAAAATGGTCTTCTTCCATCCAACATATTTCATCACGTGGATATGACAGTCCGTATTAAGAAATATTACATCACAACTAATCAAGTCTAGACAATGGTGGTTGGTTTCGGATGCGTGGAAGCATGATCGTTTTGTGTCCCTGCTCACTGAGCGGCACTGGTGCCTCTGCACTACATCCCAAAAATTTGTCCTTCCCACCTCGGCTCCCACAGAGCCGCCAATGTCCTCCTTTGGCGCAAGGGGCAACCAACTTGGATCTGGTTGAAAATAAAGAGACATCTTTGAACAGGCCGGCCTTTAGTCGCCTCCATGGCTGCTGATCGTCCAACATTACGGCGTTCACTAAGAAGCTTGCCCTCACTTGCTCACTCCGACGTGGAAACGCAAATGTCAATTGCGACAATACACACGACAATTGATTACGTTGAATGTCGTATTCCTTCTTGCTGCAATAGTGGGCTGTCAGCAGTTTGTTGCTGGGATTTTGAGCATAGTTATGTTCTACCATACCTGCAGCAAAATGACTACAGGCTTGACCAAATGTGATCAAATGTGCAGGCAAACGATGTCAACGAATTTGATCGTGACTCTTGCAAATCGGGACCCCACGGCTACTTCCTAACTTGGATGCGCGACATTTTATCAATAAGCACGACAACAGCCCGAGAACTCGTCGACTCCGCAGAAGGACCTCTGATCTCCATTTCAGACACAGATCGGACCTTTGCATTGCCGAAAGGTAAAATAGGGGATGGACATTGTCTTGCGCCGATTTTATTTGGGCGGTGCTCATGTCATGTTTCTTGCCCCGTTGGCTGTAACAAGGAACTCCGCACACAGATCGGAGACGGACTGGAACGCGACGACAACCCAACCACGAGATTCGCACGCTCGCACGGGGCATGAAACTAGTCGCCCTGTCTTTCCCGTGAAGATCCCCGTCTTGTTTCGACACTCTAAACCCTAAACCACTGGCCCGCTGACCCATGTTGGCCCAGCCACCGGAAGGAGAAGGGGTCCTCACGGAAGACATGGGGACTACATTCTCCACACGGACATCCGCCCCCCCATCGCTGACGCGGCTCCTACTCAGACCGAATCGCATCGTCAGCTGGCGACATCAAGCCGCCACGCAGCCGACCCAGACCCGCACCCAAAAGCCTGGAGGGCGCCTGGCTCTCGACACGGCGGCGCGACCAACCCCACCCCGCCCGGCCCCCCACCCACCTCGCCGCGGACAGGAACGCCCGCGCGTCGCCCACGGACTCCATGTACACCACGATGCTGTGCGTGCGCGGGTCGTCGCCCAGGTAGGTGATGAGGTCCCCCCAGTGCACGTCCAGCATGGAGCCCACGGACAGGAAGGCGCTGAAGCCCACGTTGACGCCCAGGCTCCAGTCCAGCACCGCGGTACACAGCGCGCCCGACTGGCTCACGAACCCCACGTTGCCGGGGCGGGCAATGGTGGACGCGAACGTGGCGTTCAGCCCCGTTAAAGGATTCATGACCCCCAGGCAGTTGGGGCCGATCACTCGCAAAGAACCCCCGGCCACCGCCAGCTGTGCCGTTATCCTCTCCTCCAGCGCCACGCCCTCCTTGCCCGCCTCTTTGAATCCGGCCGAGAGGATGATGGCGCCCCGAACGCCCACGGCCACGCATTCCCCCACGATCGCTGGGATGGTGTGCGCGGGCGTGACGATCACGGCCAGGTCCACAGGCTCCGGGAGGCTGCGCACGCTGGGGTGGGCCTCGATGCCAAGCACGGAGCGGCGCCGCGGGTTGATGGGGAACACCGTGCCGCCGAAGGGGCTAGAGATGAGGTTCCAAAGCACGGTGCGGCCCACGCTGCCCGGCCGGTCCGTGGCGCCGATCACGGCCACCGACTCGGGGGCGAAGATCGCGCCCAGGGGCTGGGGCTCGGAGCGGAGGATGTCATAGGCGGGCGGGGCGGGGCCTCTCGGCGATTTTAAGGATGAGCTCCTGCGGATTGGCGCGGCCATTTGGGGCCGGTGGCGGCCGCGGGGCCGCCCTGTGGATAGAGGGGGGGGCGGTGAGGCCGAGGCGGTGAGGTTCCGCTTCGGGGCGTCTGGGGAGAGTGGGGTTGGGGGGGGAGGAACACGTGTGCGCTGCTCAGCCCGGGGGGCCGTCTGCCGACGGCGAGTCATCGCGGGGGTACTTGTGTGTGCCCGCGGGGAATGGGGGAGGTGTCATCCTGGTTACGTGATCGTTGGGGGATGGCGGCAACCGCGGCACTAGAGATTGATGCTGTGCATATGCTGCCCACATATATGCAGCGTATTGGCGCGGCATATGCTGCGCTTTGTACAGCGCGTACTGCGCGCCGTACGGTGTGTGACGCTGTGCGTAGGCAATGTGTGTTGCGGCCACAATGTTGGTTTTGTGGTTTGGTGTGTGGCTTTGGGACACGTGATTGTGATGCAGGCTTTTGGATAAATCGCAGTTTCCTGGAAGTTCGGGGAACTACCAAGGGTTTTAGGAACTACCGAATTTGGGAACTACTGCAATTCATCAAGAGGCCTACATCACGAATTGGATGCCGCTCCCATCGGTGGATGGCGTTGGGCGGCACCTGCCGGACTGCCATGATTCATGATATTCACGCCCCAGTGCCGTGTTTCTGATTCGGGAGATGTTGGTGGGCACCCGGCGATGCGCAGGCATTCATTGGAGATGGGGGTTGCCGCATTTGTTGCTGGCAGTTGGCCCCCCGGCGGCTGCCGTTGGCCCGGAATTTGCGACTGAGATTGGCCCTGTGTGGCATTTTCATGGTTTCGAGGAGAGTCAAAGCTGGGTATCAAACTAGCAACTTTGTCAGGTGATTACGTGGTCTCTGTTAAAGGGGAGTCCATGACTGCCTTTTACGTTGCTCTGCGCTCAGCCGCGCAGCTCCTCATCTCTCACGGTGTGACATCCTATTTGGAACCAGCGAAGCTTAAAGCGTTGGGCTTATGACTCAAGCTCGAGTCAAGAATCATTGGGCAAACATGAAGTACGGCCATGGCTTTGCTATTTGATGGGCTCCTAAAGGACGTCATCTATGTCATTAATAAATGACCTATATAGGTCGAGATGTAATCAATTCACCTGTCGCATCAGGCGGGAGAATTGTCCAATGCAGCAGGGATGAGCCACCTGTGGAACCACCTGGTCCTTTTTGAGCGGCGCCACACTGGCTTGGTCGACTTTGACTGCCGTTGTCCGCTGGCATTCAGCTGAGGGGGGACCTACATCATACTTTGGAGTCGTCGACAAAAGGAGCATGGAGTGCAAATGGAAACCTTTTCCAGCGTTCTACCAAGGCCACATGATGGCCTTCAGACAACGACAAGTGCAACATTTCTGCAAATCTGCAGAATACCCATAACTTGGAAGAGAAATGGAAGTCAGGCAATCGCTCAGGGATGTCACAACTGGCAGTGAAAGAGATGCGCAACGCCGAAGGGCTGCATCCGATCGACATTGCGTGGTGCATGTGTAGCCCCTTCCATATAAATGTTCCCTGTGGCACAGTGAATTGTCTGCCGCAATAGCGCCTGACACATGCCGGCAGAGCACCGCGGCAACCCAGCAATTCGTGCACAGCGCTCATTTCTGGTGCACAGCCCACAGCTCTGTCCCAGACGGCCACTCCGGAACCTGAACGAACTCACAGTCTCCTACAAGTACAATGCGCCTGCAGCTCCGCGCCTTCCATCCGCCCCCAAAACACAGCCAACTGGCAAATTAGAAGGTTTCAAAACGACCGCATCCCAGACGCGGCCACGGCCAATAATGAATGTAATCGCTTGGGCTCCCGCTCCCCTGTCTAAAAATGTACAGAACAGGCAAAGGCAAACAACTCATAGCAAACAACTCATAGCCAGCCCCACTATCCTGGCATCACCATGCAACCGAATCCCACCCCCAATCCCCACTTGCGCATGGACGCAATCAGCACACGCATTGCCCAGCATGTGACACATGCCATGCCGCTGCATGCCAACACTGCTACAGCAAAGACGTGGCTTGTCATCAGCTCCAACCGTGCAACGTGTGGAAGCGATTTCTTGTGCGACCGATCTTGGGGACCAGTCGTCTGAGGGATCATGCCCATCGTGGCCTGCAAGCTGTCAAGACCGCATTTCACTTTGTTGTGCAGATGCAAGCTACGTCGAAGTCGAAGAGGCCACCTGCCCGGATTGCTCCCCATCCATCAACACGGGACGTCTATGCTTCCGTTCGTGTACATTGGGTACCCCAGGTACATCATGTGGTCCTCGATTGAAGTGCACGCGCCATAGTGGCAGACGCTGTTGTGGCAGGTGGGGTCCTCACCGCTGCCGTCGCACACCCTGCACGACAGGAACTTCATCAGCTCTTTGACTCTTGCTTTCCACACTTCTGTCGATTTTCGTCTTGCTACCCATCGTCAGCATGTGCATGCAATTCATATGCACCATTTGCTGCACATCTATACGCCTGTAAACTGTTGTACCTATCAATTTTCGGGCATGGCTCGACAAGGACAGAGGGACACATGGCTTGCCGTGGGTTTCCGCCACTCAGGTTACATATGAGACACTCTCCATGCTGCCACGAAGATGAATTCTGGACACCACCGAGTACACACGGATGGAGGACAACAGCGCCTGACATTCTCCCCAAGATCGATTGGCTCACTTTTTCGGCCCATTGCTGTTCCCATCGTCTGGGTTCAGTGTAGACAGCCATCTGTGACATTCGACACCCTACGTTGACACTCGTTGTTCTTTCATTCGCATCCACCATGTTTGCCAGGGGCCTCCCGCCAAATGTACTTTTAGGTGAGGGGAAAATGGGACCATACATCGTCATTCTGTCTTGCAACAATCTTAGCCCCCAAATCGAGGCAATCGTTTGTTGATCATCATCGCAATCGAAATGGGATACATCACTTCCATACTGTAAACATGGTCAAGAAATCTGCATGCACAGCAGGAAATGCAGCACAAATGCATAATAATTGCATCAAGTGGGGCACAAATGGCACCCGCTGTACAACTGATAGCAATAATGTGGCACAGACTGAGCGGTGCCACACAGTTTGGCAGTGTGCACGGTGGGCGGTCTGGGCACTTGCCATGATTCAGGCAAGTGCAGCTGGAAACGGATCCAATTGGTACAGTGGCAGTTACACCCATTGCATACTGGATACTCTGCATCTGGACTCGCGCACTGTCTTGCATTGAAGGTGCAAAGCCAGGGTGTGTCGATGTTGAAATGCTGTCAACAGGTTTGCAAACACAATGCGAATTGCTTGAACCACAGGCAGATGGGATTCTGAGAGAGTTGAACACTCATGGAACGATTGTCATAAAGGTGCCTCTGCAGTCCTCCACTCTGTGGAAGAATGCAATCGATCGGTTCTTCCACTCGGTCTCAATTTGCATCCTGAACCTTAACAAATTGAAGTAACTGAATCATACTTCTAGAAGTAGTGAGGAAATTCATGATACCATGAACTTATGCTGCCAGCAAAGAATTTGGGAGAAAAACTACGATGTTCCAATGACTGTTGCCAGTCTTTCTGTACTACACCTGTAGGTCATATCCACGCCACTGGGGGAGCTGGGGTCCAGAGTGTCCCTTTGCCAGATCTCCCGAGCTGTGTGATAATAGCCCAAGAACTCATAGGGCAGGGAGGGGACGATGTCCCTGGCATGGGTGAACCTCCAGCTGTGGTTGATCTGCACCATGCCACACAACACATGTTTTGGAAAGAGCACCATCACATAATGTTTGTGTGTGGCCACAACATTCAGCATATTGGACGCCCGTCACTGCAATGCACCAAATGCCACGCAACACACAACTCACACCATCCGACATCTTCTTGTCTGCACTGCATTCCTGTGACAGCCAGTCAGGATGTCAAATTCAAGCAATGTCCACTCTTACAATGGGCATGAGCGTGCTGAGCATGGGATTGCACGGACAGGGCGGAGTAATACTAACCCCATGGTACAATCCTGGACCAAACCGGCCCTGCACGCACCATTTTGCCAAAGAAGTCTGAGAATTGATTGTTTCCCGTCCTGGGCTGTCCAAAGGTGGTCACCCTCACGTCCGACAGGCTCAGGTTGAACTTTAGCCAGAGGGCAGCCAGGTCTGCCATCGCACCACCCATGGAGTGCCCAATCACGTACGTTGTCTGGTTGGTCCCATACTTGTCCACCAACCGCTGCACAGCCGCTGTTGTGTTTGCCTTTAGAGCACTCTTCGCCCAGAGCTTGTAGAAGCCAGAGTGAATCTTGGCACCCTTGGCACCCGGGTAGGACAGCGGGTACTTGCTCCTCCAGTAGTCAAAATCTTCGACCCAGTTCCAGAAGTCATGGCTGTTTGTACCTCTGTGGGTGCAGGGCAGAAGGATGAAAGGTCAGTCTCAGCCAGTTCCAAGACTCAGACTTCACATCAAGACAGAAACTTGTGTTGGTATCTTTGCGGGAGACATGCCACTACTGGTTTACAATTGCCATCTATGCTGTGCTTTTCATTGGTTTATCATTACTGGGTTATCAATGCCTTGACGACACAATTTCAGTCTTTTATTCACTACCTGTGAGGGCTGCGTTATCTGGTAGAATATTGTGCTGAGATTGGTTGTGAACATCTTCACCAATGACGGCCCAGCCAAGAAGAAAATGTGGATCTACAGTTATAGTTGTGATCAAACTGCAAGTTGGCACACAATCTGCACAAATTGCTGGCTGTCTTTATGCCACATCCAGCCCACATATGATTTCTTCTTTGCTTTGGGAGCTGCATTTGCAAAGTTGGCAATTGGATCCATCGGGTCAGAAGCAGAGGTTTCAGCTCCAGGTGTCCTAAGTCCCTTGGGCGATGCACAACGACACGTGTCCTTTTCAACACCCAGGGCTGCACTGCACAGCCCTCAAAATCAACACAGTTATCATGGTAAACAATGTCAGGCAAATAGTCCACTGCTGTGGGCGTACTATCATCCTTACAGGCAAGGGATAATTTGGCCAAAATCTATCAACGTGATTATCAAGAGATTCAACATATCTGTGCGGGCGATATACCTTATCGAGACGATGGTGGCATTCCACGCTGGAAAATAGCCCACATACGTGAAGACATCCCAAGAGGCATCATACACCGCATCTTCAACCACAAAGCCTGCCACCTCTGGCCGCTGACAGCGGGTGCAATTCCACAGGCTCAGGGAGGCCAAGTCCCTGCAGTAAGAGATGGACTCGAATGCTGCCAGAGTTTTTGATTGGTTCAAAGGAAAATGAATGGTAGGGCTTGTCGGGTCACATCCATCGACTGCAGGGAAACCAACACAATGGAGGGGAATAAAATGTGAGGCCAGGGCTTGGTGTGATTCCACAATCGTCACCGCCAATATGAAGAGGCACAAGGCACCACTCCTGCCACAAGTGGTGACACTCGAAGGCAGCTGTTGCGATTTGCGCAGTCCGGCCAGGACGAAAAATATGAAGTGCTCCGTGGTGCTGCCCATCGCCAGAGGCAAAGCCTCCAATAAGCGCAGCGGCTATGCCCTGGCTGTCCTACTCCCCACAAATCTGTCAGAGTATATCTGCAGCTGTTGCTCCAGCAGTTCGGTTTGTTTGTTTTGGCTGGTACAGTATAGATTGGCTTGAGGGGTGGGGGCGGTGGGGGTGGGGAAATGCAGAGGGACGGGGAAGAGTGGGGAGGGGAGGTTACATAAATGTATCTGGACCTCTCCTCAGCAGAGTGTGCAGGCATCGTGATTGTTAGAATGCAGGATACCTTTCAAGATGCAGGGGAACAACTCATGTGCAGCTACATTTGAGGGTCAAGGATGGCAAACAAAAGAACCTCAAGGATTGTGTTTGACAACCCTGGCTAAGCAGCTGCAAATATGGTGCAATCACACCAGAAAGTGCCCAACAGGGAGGTTTGGGTGCACGCTTACCAGAATTGTTGGTGCCCATCCATGGGTTACTTATCCTGAAAAGGTCCTGCACTTGGCAAACTCCTGATGGCTATAAATCTACCCCCCAACTCCCAATCCCACCCTTTGCCCCCAATTGTTTATGTTCCCATACTTAGAAAGAACATGCAGAAGGTCACCATACACAAGCAGGATGCCGCCCAGTGCTGTGTGTTTCGCCTTGCAGGGCAATGGCAGGGCTTTCCCAAACTTGGCAATTCATTTCACACAGTGCATAGCACCCAGCAGTGGTGCACACACATATGAGCAGTGCCATCCTACCCACAGCATATTCTTGGAGTTGAATTTCTTCCCTCTTGAAGTATGTGGCATCATCAAATGGCGGCTCAAAATCAGAAGGTCGCAGTGTCCTCAGGTATTGCACTGCTTCACCACTGCATTTCCATAACAGGTTGTTTGAATAGAATTAAAGTTGCACCACAGTCCCAGAGGGCATCTTTCAGTGTTCTCAAAACAGCATATTTCCACAGGGACCAGAAAGGCCGATGGCACACCTGCCAGCTGCATTTGCAAGCAAACTTTGAGGAAACCCACGTCTACAATTGCCCCAGGAGTTGAGTGTGCAAGGATTTGTTTCTGCATGGATTTCTGCACTTCCCCAGGTTCCTAGGTTTTATTGATGGAACAGGTGTCACCTGCTCATATGGACAACCGGACACCCATCAGAGGTTATGCTTCTCGTCTCTTAGATGTCTTTGATCTCTTTAACCTCTCTGGGTCCAGAACGCATGTGAAATAAACGTGCATAGGATTTGTCTCAACATGGGCATTGGATACTTCCCATCAAAATGCAGCTGGTCGTTGACCTCAAACTTCATCTTGCACATTCTCAGCCTTGCACTACCCATGCACATATCAAGCGATGCTCGCTAGTGTTTCAGATGCGAAAGCACTTGCTTTCCAATGCTCACTTTACGAATCTGTGTTCCACCAATACGTCCAACCAGTTTCTTTTGGACCGCAACCCAACACCCACTGGGAAAACGCTCCTGCTTAAAAGTCTCGACAACTCACCTCTCAAAGTAGCCCTGCATGGAGCCGTCGCTCACGTACTCATGTCGGTCATCCACCTCTGGGGCAGCTGCGGTTTGCAATCCTCATAGTTACACACAGCTTTCCAACAAGTGATCAACGTCTTCTGCAACCATACTCCAACGGTGACGGGCGAAATACAACCGACGAGCAGCCGCAGCTGCACATTCTGCAAGACGTGTGGGGAATGTATGGGATGAATATTTTTTGGACATATTTTTTGGATTTTTTGGACTCGAATAGCTGAGTCCAATCGTCCCCTGCACCACATCACCGTCGGCTGTTTCTTTCGATTGCCAAAGAGAAAGGAATTGACATTGGACCGGCGGGAGCCGCAGAGCTGGGGAGGCCTGTCCTCGACCGGAACCAAGTGGTGAGGCCACCCTGGAGGGCTTGCGACAGTCGCATTCTCTCCTCGGGCAAGGCAACCCACATTGGGAGCCCGCACTAAAACAACAGAAGTGGACGCCTAGAACAACGTTGGAAGGCAAATCGGCGCCGAAGCTCAGCAAAAGACGAAGGGAGCCCGTGCGATTCGCCAACCGCCCACAGGGACTTACATGGGCACTCCGGGGCGTCCACCGACCGCGAAAGACGCGCCAATCGCGCGCGCCGCAGCGAAACCTAGTGTCGCGCCGCTCGGTCCCGCACGCCGGCACGATCCTTGGCTGCGGATCACGCCGCAACCGCCCCACGGCCTCACCTAGCGAAGGGCCCAGGGCGGTTGCCAGGACCGCAACCACCGCCCAAGCCACCGGGAACCTTCGCAGCCTGCCGCAACAAAGCCAAGCGGTCATCAATGCAGGGAATTGCGGCCCGTGCCCGCGCAGCCAAGCGCGCCTCGCAGCCCCCGGCCCCTTTGCCTCGTGGTTCTGGGCCCGGCACTCCCGGGCACTTATTCCCCGCGGCGCTCGACGCGCCGCAAGCATGAGAGGTCGCATCGCCCGATCGGGGCAGGAAAAACACTGTGAAACGAAGTTCGGCATTCCAGGAATAGGATGGCGATCCGTTCCACGATCGGGGGCCTCGAAATCCAAGGGCGTGCACTCCGTTCGTGTCCCGTCCTGCGACCCGCCGTCAAGGGCGCCAACTCGACCGATGAGATGCCCACCTGTTCATCTGCCGATGCGCACTCCTCGAGCGGCAGCCCGGCGGTCAGCCCGCTGCCCGCGGCCCGTCGGAAAGGCAGGGCACAGGCGAGGTGAGGCCGAACCCGCAGCACGGAGAACGGGGGTTGGTGGAAGATGCCCTTCGTTTAGTGGTGACGGATGTTCCGTATGTGGGTGAACGGGGCGGCCGCAACCAAATGGGCCCTTACCCGTCCACGGCTGCCTTTTCTGAGGTCATTCCGGATTCGGACCACGCATACGGAGACCCCATGCACACACACACACACACCGTGAGCATGGTCCCGTTGTGCATCTCGATTCGTGGGGGGGCTCCTCTGTTTGTCTCAAAGTGTAAGACATTTGGAGTTAAAAAAAATGAACGTGTCACATGGACATGGAGATTTGGATTCAGGCTTGCAAAGAACGGCGGTCCATTCTGGCCGTCGTCCCCGGAGATAGCGCAGTAACACCACCCTCAAACGGGAAGCTGAGACATGTCGACAGCCTCAGCACCACAGCAGTTGAGGGTGCACTCAACGAACAAGTCTTGCCCCTCGCGCAAACCGGCTATTGACGAAGAACTGCTTGTCGCGACGATGCCAACGGCCCAAGATAGCAGCGGCGACAGCAAGGGCAAGCTTCAAACGGGTAGCAAAACACCCCCCTGCCAGCCAACCATGCAAATGCGCTTGTAGAACTCTCACAGCTGCCGCTCTGAGCGCCGCAATCGGTCGCAACCGCTCCTCAACGGTCGACGAAGTCAAAACGGAGGTCGGGTCCGCGGGTCAGGGCTGCCTCGTCCACAGCGCGTCGGCGTATGATACGGGAAGCACTTCTCTCCGCCTCGACAAGGCTGTGCAACGACGAAGGGTGCTCACTTGTGCAGCAAAACCGCGCTGGCACTGCTGGTCTTGAGCGGCATGGAAAGCGGCTCAGAAAAGGCACAGACTGGCCGCGACCTTCGAAAAGGTCGAGCGCTATTGCGCTCAGGCCGTGGCGAACGTTGTGCACACGGCCAGGGGAGTCAGGCAGCCAGGCTCAGTGCCTGGGCTGCCGCGAGAGACACACATGAGCGCCGCACAACCGTTGTTACAGCTGCCAGGCCGAGTGCAACTATACAGAGTTCCCCACGGCGCTGTCCGCACCCCTCTGGCAAAATACCACCCATTCCTCAGAGATGCTCTTTTGATACCCAGAATCTTTTTGACAAGCCCGCCGCTTCACCACAACTCAACCCAGGACGCCCCACTGGCCACAATCAGCCACCACGTGTGCCCCAAGGGCCACATTCCCATCAAACAACCACTCTTCCTGGGGTCAGCAACCACGTTATGCCCCACGGGGCATATTCCCATCAAACAACCATGTAGTGCCTCCACGCGCCACTCCTGGATCCGTCGCACCACGGTCCACAGCTGGCCGCTAGGCGGGCTGCCCCTGAACAAACGTACGTGTCCAATGGCAAACTGGGTGTTCCTCAGTACTCCCAATTGCACTCAGGGCATGTTTGACACATGTGCCTCCGTGTGAGGCGCTGCCACGTATAGGCGTTGTGCTCAACATCTTCATAGTGTCTTAGTGAACTCTTTGGGCGTATGATGCAGTTGCCATCATCTACCTTTGTCATCAAAGTCATCTCCCTGCATTCTGAGTGCCTTGGGCTTGGATTGCGAGAAAGTTATATAGCACCCCTGATTGATGTTTTGGGGTTTCTTCCTCATTGAGCACCAACCTACTGGATGATTTTCGGTATGGCGAAGGTGTTGAGGCTGTCGGCATCCCCTCTGCACCAAATCTGGACCTCACGGGTCGACAGCTGCGTGATATCATTATCTTACCGTATTTACCCGGTATTAGTAGGCATGTATTGGACCCCAAAAATAAGTTGTGGATACTAATAGCGGGTCGTGTGTACTAACGCGGTTTGGACCCCTGATTCCAAAGAGTAGACAAAGAAAATGTCTGACAAATAGGCCGTGAAATGCCCAAAAATGGACAACAATGGCGATGCTAGTGCGGAATGTTGTCAGCCTCTTCACAGGAACTGGCGGCCTTGACTTGGGCTGCACCAGCTGCTGGCGACAGACGATTGGGGCCGTCAGGGGTTCGCTGGAATGCTCTAGGCGCATTTGCCTCTTCAATGCAAAGAACAAGGCCTGACATGGGTCTCGACTCGTTGGGGCACAACGTCGCGACGATGCTTGACACGCGGCATTTTCCCTCGCTGATGGCAGCTGGGAAGGCTGCGGGGATCTGTAATTGGGTTTGTGGCCTAGTAGCCAGTGAGATGTGTTTTGCCCCACCTTCGCAGCGTTTTACGGCCAGTTTCGCAAGGCAGGGCCTCGCAACGGTAGTTGCCATGACCATTGCCGTCGCCTGGTCATTCCTGGCGCTGGGCCCTTGAGGGGCCTGTGGCAGGCGCAAGGCCAGAACCTGCTCTGGCCGGCCGGGGAGCAGGTTGGCTCAATCCAAAAACCAGGGCGGCTTTGAATTCTCGACCGCTTCTATCATCGGGCCTTGAGGCGTCGGTCGCCGCCTTGCGATTCTGCGCTGAGAACGCCAACGGCGGCCAGTCAACCTTGCGGCCTTTCGCGGGCACCCTTCCAAATTCTCCCTCGACAACACCCACCCCGACCCGATCGTCCCCGTCGATGTGCGAATCGCAGGGAACGCGGTTTGGTCCAGACAGGGCAACGAAGTCCAACACCAGCCCCCGACTTCCCTTGCCACCATCCGCGCCTTCCGTCGTTTCTGCTCTGATGAGGTTTGGGGGTGGATACTAACACCGGGTCATGGATACTAACGTGGGTTCGACCCCCAAAGAGGGGGTTGGATACTAATAGGGGGTGCCTACTAATACCGGGTAAATACGGTACTAGCTTTTTTGATAAGCCCCATTAATTGGCGACCCGAACAGGCTTGTTATTTTCGGCGCAAACACGTTCTATATACAGCTATTTGTGCGTAAAAATGGTTTTTGCGTTTTTACACGTCAATAGCCGTAGAAATGGGTAAAAGTGGGACCTGCGCTCTTAGGGACGGTACATACAGACTCACAGAGTCTGGGCAGTGGCAGTCTGATGCGCTGAGGTACGCATAAGCGATCTTTTGCTTGGCGACGTCGTTGCCCTTGCTGAGGGCGAGGTGTGCGCTGTGTTGCTGGTGCTGGAGAGAGTGGAGGATTGATCGTTGATTGAGGGATATCAGGCTTGTTATTTACGCCATAAACACCGATTGTATTTACGTTTTACACGTAAAAACAGTTTTCACGTTTGTATGCACACAATAATTTTTATGCTTTTACACAAAAACGCGTAAGAATACCACTTCCGGGGAATGGCATCCAGACGCGCTCGAATGGGCAGGAAGCGAATTTTGTTCCACTCCATCGTGGCCCTTGCCAAGTGGGAAATGGACGCTGTATTGCAGGCGCTCAAGGGGCCAGAGAACTGATCACCAGGCTTGGTTTTTACGTTTACGTTTACGTTTTTACTTTTACGTTTTTATGCGTAAAAACGTAAACTTGCAAAAGAGCCCAACTTTTACGGCTATTTTTACGTTTTTACGGCTCCCTGGCACGCCCAGATTACATGATGAAAGTTGCGTACAATGGTCAGTCCTCCGCCATATCCAGCACCCGCAACACAGTGTCCACCTCGCCCTTGGCAAGGGCGATGATGGTGTTTAACAAAAACTCGTTTTCTGCTCCTTCCAGGGCGTCTGGCTGCCACTCTCTGGACTCCGTAAGTCTGTATGTACTGTCCTTATGTACACCGGGCAGTTTTTACGTCGTATTTGCGTATTTTTACGCATTTTTATGTGTAAAAACGTAAAAACTGTTTCTACGCGTAAAAACGTAAATACGATCAGTTTTACGGCATAAAAACCATGCCTGCTGATCACTGTACGCAACTTTCATAGTGTAACCTGGGTGTCACAACGAGCCGCAAAAACGTAAAAACAGCTGCAAAAATAACTTCTTTTGCAAATTTATGTTTTACGCATAGCAAGGTAAGCGTAAAAACCAAGCCTGGGCGTCGCTATGGTTGTGATCGGGCAACGGGGCGTGTGGGCCTACGCTTGCGCTCGCCGGCCAGCACGTTGGCGCTCACCACAACACGGGACCCCCTGGAGCAGGGCAATCGCCGAGTGCACCGGCACATCCCATTGGCACCCGGGGTCTGATGAGATACTCACGGCAGGCTTGGTTTCCGTTTGAGTTTACGTTTTTACGCTTATGTTTTCACGCATAGAAACGTAAACTTGCGAAAGGGGCTATTTTTATCGCTATTTTCACGTTTTTGCGGCTCGTTGGGACTGCCAGGCTGCACGATGAAAGTTGCGCACAATGATCAGTCCTCCGCCATCTCCAGCACCCGCAACAAGGCACCCACCTCCCCCTCGGTAAGGGCAATGATGGCATGAAGCAAAAGTTCGTTTTCTCCCCATTCCAGCGCATCTGATTGCCACTCCCAGGACTCCCCAAGTCTGAATGTACTGTCTTTATGTACACGGAACTTTACTTGCGTTGTAACTACGTAGTTTTACCCGCTTTTACACGTACAAACGTAAAAACTATTTTTGCTCGTAAAAAAATAAACACGGTCAGTTTGTACGCCGCAAACACCATGTCTTACGATTTGTCGGTGGGGTATTCATGGGGTTACTATTGAGCACACTCATGCGGATGCGGGCCGGGCCACAGGAACGCCCAGCCATGCTGATGGGCGGACGCGGATCCACCCACGCGGATCCTCACGCTGAACTGTGCATGAATATGATTTGCACCAGGCGGACCCTCGTCTGTCTTTTCAAACCAGGCCAGCATCCTAGTGTGACTGCCACACTTTTTCCACACCCCACCCTGCCCACAAGCGGTTATTTCAGGGCGGCCCCGCCCACGCACCCCACTCCCACCCGAAGATGGCCTTGAAAAGCCTCCTGCCCTTCGCGGCTCTGCTCTACTCTCTCCTGTCCTTCCTCCCGCGCTTCCCCCTCTCGCTAGCGTGGCTCTCCCTGTGCGACGCATCGCGGGAGGTAACGGCCAAAGGCCGCAGCACGTCGGGTCGGACACGTAAGGACGCCGCCTGGCAGCCGGTGAAGACTTCGGAAACGCCCGGTGACGCGGCCGAGGATAGGCAGCCGCGGCTGGGCGGGCGGGAGGGCTTGGCGCGAGGCTTGTTGGATCGCTGCACCAGGTGAGGGCGGTGGATGGAGGGATGGTTGTCGCGTCGGCGCATGTGGCGTGCTCTGGCGGGGTGGTTGCCCTACTTCGCTCTGCCTGCCAGAAAACGTGACTTAAGTGTGCCGCCGTCTCGCCACCTGCTCAGCAGAAAGCCTTTTTGAGCCGCCCGATGGCCCTCGAGATGTCTGATCCCCCGTGTTTCTGTGGCCTGTGACCATCTCGTGGGCTCTCGGTTTCGGAGGGGAATTTCGAGGCTGGTTGGGGTATGGGCAGTTGATGAATTGACCGGGCACCGGTGCTGATCCAGATTCGGTTGGCGGGCCCCGAACAGAGAGAGGCATCGAGCTGCGGACGTTTCGGCGAAGGCGCTGCCGACGACCCAGCCTGAGAAGAATTCCGACAGCGACCACACGGTGAGTCGGATTGCTGCGTCGCGACCGTGGAGGTCAGTGATCGCGACTGGGCACCGAGAGGGAGGTCCGCGGGCGTGGTCTGTTGGCCTCCTGATCCGATGGGCCTCGGACCACTGAGGGCTGAAACGCGTTGCAAGGGTTCCCCGTCACGCGTCCGCGAGTTCCAGAACAGATTAGTTATGGAGGTCGGTTGGCCTTACCTGCAAAGGAGGGCAGCTGAGCAAAAACGCGAGCAAACAGGGGCCTGCCGCTCCACACCTCAAACAGCGAACGTTAACGCGCTGCGGACCGTCGCTCGCAAAGGCGTCATCAGGCCCGTGCGCGGCCCGGCGGCTGCCTTCCTGGTGACGATCTCTGGACCGACGGCCACACCGTCCGGTCACACATGCCGAGGGAATGTCCGGGCCGCTCCCGAGCGCCCCGCACGGCCGCCGGCGGCTCCTTCAAAGAAAGCTTCCCAATCCCTGCACGGCTCTCATTTGCGCCCCCGACCTTCTGCCGCTGACGTTCCCGCCCCCTTGTCGCGCAGGCCTCGTCGCAGCTCTTCCAGGACGCCTTCTTCCCACCCCTCCTCTGCCGCGCCCTCCGCGACGCGGACGTCGTCCGGCTGAGCGCCTGCGACCGGCGCCTGCGTGCGCTGCTGACGCCGGAGCTGTTACAGATCCGCGAACGGGCGCGCCTGGGGGCGGCGGACGTCGAGGCGGTCGCCCGGTGTGACCAGCCCACTTCCCTGCAGTTCCTTCTGCGCATGTCCTGCGCCCTGCTGTGGTCCCTGGCCAGCGGCGGCTCGCTGCCCTTCGACCGCTTCGTGTGCAGCATGGCGTACGGGGCGCGCGGAATGCACGCGGACGCCGTGGGCTACGGCTCGATCCACGATATTTTTGAGTCGGACGATGAGGACGCAGACGATGCGCTGTGGTGCTACTGATGCCCCCTCCCTTCCAAGGGACGGGAATGGAGCAGGCCCTTCGCGGCGCCACTTATGTTCTGTCTCGAGCTTCTTCTCTCCTGTCGAGTTCCCGGCTGTTCCGTCGAGCGGCGGTTTCATTCCATCTTTGGAACGCCAACTCCGGCATGGGTGGCTGATGCGTCGACGGTGGAAGGCGCCCGGCTGAGCGTTGGGTGGCCTGCGTCAGGGGCGATTTCATTCCATCTTTGGAACGCCAACTCCGGCATGGGTGGCTGATGCGTTGACGGTGGAAGGCGCCGGGCTGAGTGTAGGGTGGCCTTCGTGAGGGATGGGCGGGCCGTGAAGGTTGGAGGACCTCTGGAGCTGCGTTGGGTGCCTCTGGCGTGGAAGCCGCCCGGTGCCCCGGAACCCGATCTTGGATCCATGCGAATGCTTGTGCGTTCATGTCGTCTGGGAGCGCTCACGACCCATCAAGGTCACGCTACTGTGCGCCACTGGGTGACAGGTGTGCACGTTGGGTGCCTGCTGGTCGGATTTCTTCCTCCAAACGGTGCCGCCTGGCTGTGGTGTTTGGTCGACAGGGCGGAATGGGTGCCAGAATTGTTTTGATTGAATGGAGGCAACCGCATGGGGATATGCTTGTTGGAGGCCACAAATGTTGGTTGGTGTACCACTATAGAATAGAATTCACTCTGGATGGATGAATCGCAATCAGCACATAGAGATAGGGGGGCTTCATAGTTGTTGCATGTACTCTACCTGTGATTTGTTTGTATGTCTAGTAGACATAGTACATAGACTACAGTCTATCCGTGAGCTTCATCTTTCAAGGCACCAAGCACAACGTGGAATCTGGATCAAAGGCGTTTTGTTGGGGCATTGGAGGAGGACAAGGATTTTTGCAACAGGACGAGAGGGCGGGATAATGCTTCGCGTCACAGAGGAGAAGCATATGTTTTTCATGTCATGGCATACTTGAAACCAGGCCAGAAAAGTTTGTGGCATTGGAATTTCAGATTTACACGGCCGAACGTGAATGTCCATGTCATTATGCAAATGTGTAGTCACGTCTGTATATGCCAACACGTGTACTTGCCGTCAGGGTTAGTTCAACGTTTGATAACCAAGGATGCGCCGCTCATCACAATGATTATCGAGTTGACCGGTCTCTTTCGCACACACTCGCACACGGTCGCTCCCAGGCACGGGAAGCAAAACCGTAGCCGGATGCATTACAGAATGAGTGTATTGACTAAATACCAATCACCGCAATAATTCCCCATCTCCATTGTCCCCATGTATTTTCACCATAACACCATGTCCACCACATTTACTTTCCACCATCAAAAACACACCATATATCATGTATTATATATTAACCGTTCACTTGCCCTCACACGCTTCCCTGCGCCAAATACACACCCGCCAGAAACTCATCCCTTTTCAAATTGCATCCCGATACGGCCTTAACATATCTGTGTGTCTAATCCATACTTTTCCTTCTGGCCCCCGCACTTCCCAAACCGCATTCGTTATAGGGCGAATCAACCGCCCCGGACCCTTCCACCATGGCTCGAGCTTGTCCTTGAGTGTTTCGACTTTTGTATTCCACAACCACACCTGATCCCCCGCTCTAAATGTCCGTTGGATACGCCGTCCCCTGGTCCTGTGGTTTGCCTTCGTGCGCTGTTGACGCGCGTACTCATGTAGCCTGCTCCACACGGTCTTTGAACTGTTCCACAATTGGTTTGGCGACCCAAACACGAAAGAGGTGCGAGTCTTACTGTTTTCTTCTGGCGAAGACAAAGGTGTGTTGTTATAGATCGCTACGGCCTGCTCAACAGTCTTGGCGAAATACTTGGGTTCCTCTGCCCACATGCGCCTCAAACGGTTCAGAAGTGTCTGATTGAACCGCTCTACAAACCCAATGGACGCGTGATGGTAAGGAGGTGAGAACTCCTGCATCACTCCCTCCTGTGCACACCACCCTTGCAACTCCTTGGATTGCGTGGCTTTGCAGATGTCAGAACACAAGACTGAAGGCGTCCCTTGTGTTTGTGCCCATTTCTTCAACCCCTGCACAATGTCCGTTCCCCTTGCACCCGTGACAGCCCACGCCCCCGCTCGTCTAGTCAGCATGTCCACGATGACAAGAACAAATCGCTTTTTCCCCACTTTCTTCTCAGGAAAAGGTCCCATGAAATCCAAGCCAATGACTTGGCCAGGCTTCTCTGGCACATGCCAACAGCCAAATGGGTTGGATGGTTGCGGTCGATGAAACAACTGACACACCCTGCATGACCGCACTCTATCCATCACCCACTGCCATGTTGGACGTAGACCCATCTGGCGAAAACGAAGATACGTCTTTCTGATTCCAAAATGCCCTGCATGGGCCTGCTTCCATTGTGCCTGAGTAACGACCAACGAGCGATGTCCTTCCACTGCGCGAAGACGAGACGGTCCCAAAATCCAAGCCCCCTGTCTAGACAAAAAATCTGCCAAATAATTAAATGGTCCTGGACAAAATGAAATTTGCGGAGAGTACCAAGAAAGGTGATCGAGACGCCTCTTGAGAAAGTCGCTCAAGTGTTCCGGATTGTTGAAGCTCACGGCAGCTTGGTTATCCATAATGGCCCGAACAGGTGCACTAAAAATCCATGGTCTGAAAGTCTGAAGAGCTCTGCAAAGCGCTTCCAACTCCAAGACATTGCTCATATGGTGCTGAAAAGCTGTTGGCCACAGGCCGTGTGCACAACGAATGATCCGATGCCCAGTCAGTAGCACAGCTCCCCAGCCAAGCTTACTTGCGTCAGTGATCACTGTGAAAGACCCAAATGATGGCGCCAAAGGAAAAGCACACCTGACAAAATGGCAGCGCAACAAAGAAAGAAATTGTCGCCACCGAGCCAATGAAGGATGTGCTTGGACATCACGCAAGGCTGCCAATACTTGATGGCCCCTCCAAATGAACCGAGCCGAGTGGTTCAACCAGCCACGAATCTGACGCCAACCTGATTGGGTGGTAGGCATAGGAGCTTGCTCAAACTGAGTCAACACTGCGTCTGTCGGTTCCAAACCAGAAGTTGTAAGAGTCACCCCCAAATATTCAAAGCGATCCCGGCAGAATTGGCACTTGTCCCAATTTACCCGCCATCCATCCCGTTGAAGCTCTTCCAATAAAATGGCTAAGTCATGCTGATGTTGAGCTTCTGACTGGATAATAAAAGAATATCATCCATATAAAAAAGGATCTGCGACTGAATACGACTAGACACCCGGCGAACTGTTGGCCATAATGCTCTCAAAAACTCGTGGGAACTGTTGGAATACCCAAAAGGTAGCCGCATGTACTCAAAGAATCTCCCCGCCACTGTTAACCCAATAGCACGCCACAAACATGGGGCAAGCCGGATTTGCAAATAAGCATTGGACAAATCGAGTGCTGATCCAATGCGGAACGGACGTAAGGTTGCCAAAGAGAGCTCACGATGGACAGGAAGAAAAGGCTGGTGCTGGACACAAGAATTGAATTTCCGAAAATCCAGCACAAGCCGAGTTGAGCCATTCTTTTTTGGCACCCCAAACGCCGGAATGATGTACGGCTCATGGTTCACCTCGCGGACAGCCCCCAACTTCACCAATTTCAAAACCTCCTCCAAGACCTTGGCCTCCTCGGCTGGTCCCGTCATACGGCTCGAAGGTTGCGTTTTCCATGGGAGAGGAAAACGAAAAGGGAAGCTGCGGACAATATAAGTTCGTCAAGTGCCCAGACCATCTGCAAAAACAACAGCATATTTGTGGCGCAAAGTAGCCAACCACCTAGGTCGTGCAGCCAGTGCATGGACAACATTCCCCTGAAACCCCTGCATTACCTGACAAAACCCCCGACCTTTGCGACCCTCAGGGATCAAAAGCACCCCCTTATCGGGAATCCGAAACCACTGAACCGATGTACGACATGCCAATAGATCATAACGAGGCATCAACTGCTGTGGCTCTGCAGAGAAATTCTTGAGTGCACCCCAGATTCGCACACCATCAGTTTTGACAATGAAAGTGACCTGACGGTTGGGAAGCGTCACAAAATATTCCTGCAAAGACCCCATGGGAAACTTGCATTGGATGTTGATCCCTCGACTTTCATAAGGGCCCAGAACCACACTACGATTCAAGGGTAGAAACAAAAGACCATTCTTACAATAAGGAGGGTAAAGAGGGCGTTCAACAAAATCTAAAAAAGATCTCTCATCCTGCCCAGCTACTCCCACATGAGACGACTGAAAATAGCTCAGCTGCGGCCCACAGCCGCCCCCAGACCGCGCTGCCTTCCGTTTCCCGACATAACCCTATTAACTCCACCCGTAGCCCCCCGTTCGCTCCCAATATGAACTGTCCCTGGAACAACAGAATGGGATGTACAAGGGAGTAACACTCCCTGGCAGAAAGCAGCGTGGCGAGGAATAGTGACCATCTCCTGCCCGGTGTTCAGCAGAATCGCCTTGAGGCGACCACGATAGTTCCCGTCAACAACCCCGCCCAAGAGTTGGATGCCATAGCGGTGAGCAAGGCCCGATCGTTCTTTCAGCAAGCACCAAGTCCCCTGAGGGAAATGGCAAGCGACTGCAGTGTCAACGGTGATGCGTTCACCGGGGCGAAGACAAAGCTCTTTGGGTGCAAAAAAGTCATACGCCGCATCCCCCGAAAAATGTTTCTTGGGGAGTGGTGGCAAACAACCATCCACTGGAAACCGCTGAACCACAAGACTGTCTCCCTGCAAATGGGTAGGCTGACAAGCATCTTGAACTGGAAGACACTTGACCTGATCGCCACTGGTCTTCTGGATGAGGGTACGCTGAGTGCAGTCAACTAACAACTGATTGGCTTCAAGAAACGTGAAACCCATGATGAGGGGAGGGCCCTTGCCATCCAAAACATATGCCTTCATGGGCATATATGCGCCTTGGACTGTCACTGGCAGGGTGACGGCCCCGATCATGGGCTCCTCTTCGCCATTA